ACCCAAGAGGAAAGTAAGAAAATAGACAGAAACAAACGCATTATGTAGACTACTTACTCGGACAATATGTGATAACCAACCAATACTCGCAAATGTTATGTCCATCTACTACGTACTGTTGACCACTGTTTGGAGACTTTGTAATGCTCATTTTTACTCCCCGATTTCTCTTCTGTACCTCTACCCCAAATGCAAATACTTTTCAAAATACTTTTCAAAATAAAGAATTATAAAAAAAAAAAATTATTATGATTTTTTTGTGTGCATGTTATGCATCTGGTGTAACATAGTAACTCATATTGGCCAAGTACCATTTTTATGTTGAATTTCTTGGTTTTCAACTTCAAGGCTCATGTTATATTGTCCATACGTTTGTGTGGATTAATCTCTGCTGTACAGCATGCGTTTTAATGTTTAAACACTGATTTTTTTGGAGGTACCAATAAATATAAGTTTAATTTTAATGATAATTTACATTGTTATTACTGTGAGTGTTCGTGTAGGCAGGACCTATAATGCTGTTAAAACACCCTTGATTAGAGTGGTGACAATATTAATAAATTATTATATAACAGAGATGAGATGGATATCTAAGTTAAACATATGACCTTAACATGGATTTCAAATTATATCATTTTTTAAATCAAATCCACACCTTTCAAAAATGAAAAGTTCCTTTTTCACAATTTCATCTTTTTATAAAAAGTATTTTTTACTTTACATTTAACAAAATCCTTTTTTATTATCTCCAAATTGATATGCAATTTAAATCATCCAATCATCCATTTTTTTTTTTTTAATTCTTTATTTATTTGTGCTCGGTAAACATGTTGATAAAAAAACATTGAGACATTGTTGTAGTTTGGGTTCAAGCAGATCCATGTGTTAGCTTTAACATACATATTTCAGATTTTAAGCACATTTTTATTTAGCATATAGGTTTAGTGACATGCCCGGGGTTGGTAGTGTTGTGGCTGGTCTGTTAGGGTGTGTTATACTCCCCTGGGATACTCCAGGTGTGCGGGTGGTAAATTTGTGATTCAGGCTAGTACAGGTGTGTGGTTCTGGATGCCTGTGTGTACTCGCTAGTGGAACTTTGTGGATTTCCTTTAGGTGAGTTTGGCAAGTGTGTAAGGTGCTCCGGTGTGCGATGTACCCTGTGCGGCATCTTGTTTGTCCCCTTTAACCCTGGGATGACGGGGGTGGGCGGAGTGGCATTAATCTATGGTAAGCGCCTGTTACCTCTCTATCGTGTGTGGCTGTCGCATAGGTGTGGGTACCTCAATATTGTATGTACAAAAGAGTGTAACAGAATAAACCAACAAACATGTCAAAGAAAAATTAAGCAAGGAAAACATTTAAGCGTGGGAGCATCGAGGCTCGCATACGGTTCAACATGAAACCGGGGAGTTGCAGTGGTGCCATTCATATGGGAAAATAGTCACGGGAGTGTGTGTTCAGGGGGATTACCCCTTCTCTCACGAGGACTGGGTCCTCATTTTGGCAGTCCCTATGCAGGGTCAGGTGGTAGGTGGCGGTGGCTCATCCGTTGATTGTCCGTGGGTGGAGTGGTCTTCCGGTTCCCAGCTCTCCGGTTGGTTTGCGGTTACGGAGGTGTGTTCTGGGGGATGTAGTCCCAGTGCCATCATGAAGGTGGGCGCTTCGGTTGGGGATGTGAGATGGTGTGCGGTCCTGTTGTGATGGACGAGTAGTGCGCCAATGTTCCCCCACCTGTAAGCTATGCCAGCTTTGTGCAGTGCCGTTGTCACAGGTTCAAATGTTTTTCGTCTCAGCAGTGTGGCTCTTGTGACATCCTGGAAGAAGGAGAGCTGAGCGCCCTCAAAGGCCAGTGGTGTTTTGCATTTTATGGCAATCATTATCTGTATCTTGTCTGATATTGTCGCCAGGCGCAGGATAACATCCCTGGGTGTGCTGGGTGGTATGCGTGTAGAGCTTGTCACTCGGTAGATCCCGTCCCAGGTTATTTTTTTGGTGACTGTCTGTGGTAACAGTGTTGAAAGCAGCCGCTTTATGTAATGCGGCAGTTCCTCAGTTGTGACTGCGGCTGGGATGCCCCGGATTTTGATATGTTTCCGGCGTTGTTTGTCCTCCAGTGACATAATTTGGCCGGCTAGTACATGCTGCTCTGCCTGTAGGCATTGGATTGATTCCTTAAGGGTGGACACTGTGTCATGTACGGTGGTAATGTCTGCCTCTATCGTTCCCACTCTTACTGTGACTGATTGTATGTCTTTTTTGACCATGGCGACATCGGCCGCCAGCAGCTTTTGTATGTTGGTCCAGAGTGGTTTTAGGTCCCCTTTAGTCCTGGGGGCTGAGTCATCCTGGGTGTCGGGCAGCTACGGGTGTTCCGCTGGGGGGAGTCATTTTCGTAGTCGGCTCCTCGCGGTCAGACTCAGATGTTTGTCTGGTCGGGGGGCGATGCGTGGTGCGTGCCGTTTCGGCTTGCACCGGTCGAAACCACATCTCCCCTATATCTCTGTCTTGTGTGTTCGCGCCTGCTTTGGGTTTGTGTGATCGGCGGCCCATATCTGTGGTGCCTGAGTTCAGATTGGATGCGTGGTGCACGAGTAGGCTTCCGTCAAGGTAGGCCTCCAGGCCCTGGATTGGCGTTGTGCGGTAAGCCGCGGATTTGCGCCTTTGCCTGTGCTGCTTGGGTGCCTGGAAAAAAGGCATCAAATCGATGCAGTATGTATCACTGATCGGCACCGGTTCCTTTTTGTGGCTCGATGGAGCTTGGTTTAGGGGATATTCAACGGATTATTCCTGGTTTTGAGAGAGCAAGTTTACATGGCGTCTGTCCAATCATTCATTTTTTATATGCACCAAACTACGTTTCAAAACACCTTTTGTAGTGTGTATATATATATATATATATATATATCTATATCTATATCCAAAAAGGTAATAGGTGCACTCATAGGTCTTATTCCAATATTTATTTTATTTAGTTGTGCAAATTACATGTGCAAAATCAAATAATTCCGACCAACGTTTCGACCCCTATAGGGTCTATATACATGCAATAAATTTGTATCTGTTACTCGCACTAAGTCGGAGATCGAACCCATATACCTCAATGCGCTTTGGGAACAGTAGTTCAAATTGAGTTCGTAGGTCCGAACCAACCATTCGGTCCGACCGAATTAAAGGACCACTGTAGTCAGCATATAAAAGCAAGAGGGACAAGTCCCCTAACCTTCTTTCTTGCTTTTATATTAATTTCCCCCAGGGGTCAAGTCCTGGGGAAAAAAGTGTGGGAACTCACCCAAGATCCCCCCCCAAAAAAATCCAAAACAATCGTATGCATATATAAACGCGTGCACACACACACTCAGACATACACTCACGGACACACACATACGCTCAGACACTCACAGACGCACACACATACGTAGACACTCACACAGTGGTGTATTTTAATTTTGTGCTGCCCTAGGTATGACTATACCTGAGCACCCCCCTAATCTAAATTTACCAACCCTTCCAGTCAAGGGCGCACCACTACCTGATTAAGAACAAACCCCTTCCTCTTATGCTCCGCCTTTTCCTGCTCCTTTTAAAGAAATACTATAGTGCCAGGAAAACAACGCTGTTTTCCTGGCACTATAATTCCCTATAGTTTCCCCCTCCCTAGTGTCCTCCCCTCCCCCACTCGACCCTCAGGGGATAAAATCCTATGGGTATTTAGCAGATGCTTGATGTCCTCAGGCAGAGGGTGAGGACAGCAAGGTATCAGTTAGGCGACTTTTGGTCACCTAACCACCCGAAAGTCCCTCTAGTGGCTGGCTGTCTATTTATCTATATATCTATTTCTATATCTATCTATCTATCTATCCATTTCTATCAATCTATCTCTATGTATCCATTTCTAGCTATCCATTTCTAGCTATCCATATCTATCCATCTATTTCTATCTATCCATCTATTTCTTTCTATCTCTATCTATTACTATCTATCTATTTCTATCCATCCATTTCTGCTACCTATCTATCTATCTCATTCTATCTCTATCTATTACTATCTATACCTATCCATTTCTACTACCTATCTATTTCTATCCATCTATCTATCCATCCCTATCCCTTTCTATCTATCCCTATCCATTTCTATCTCCATTTCTGTCTCTATCCCTATCCATTTCTGTCTCTATCCTGTCTCTATCAAAGACACACATCCCCACACAGCTTCCCCCCACTTGATAATCGAGACATGCAACAGAATCCTGCTTGCCGCTACCTCTCTACACACAAAATCTCACAAACATCCTCCCCAGATACACAGCGCCACAGCTAGTCTACCACACAAAACACCACAAGCAGCGTCCCCTCCCCCCCCCCCAAGCATGCAACCGCACAAGAGATGTTTCTAGGCAACAATATAAACACTACCCTTTCTCTGAAAAGGTAGCTTTTACATTTCTGAGCCTGCAGGGACATACAATAGAGAACAATTACATTACACTACAGTGGTTCTGGTGACTATAGTGTCCCTTTAAGTTATGTTGGTACCCAGAATTTTCCTTGAACAATCAAGACAAAGTAAGTAAGATATCTCTAGCACCAAACAGTAAAATTCCAAAACAGCCTTTCCTAAATATTTTATCTTTATGAAATGCTCATTTATCTTTATTTTTGTGGTAGGTGGGGGGTGACAGAGCCGCTTTAATAAAGCAGAAGAAATGCATTTATTGCCCAGGTATCTTTGTCAGTGACACCCCTATGCAGTAAACACAGTGTTTGTTTGAGTTGTTTCAGAACATAAAAATATTCCAGCTCACTTGCCAACACGCCCAAACATACAAAAGTCGCCCTGGTCATGCCCATCATTTGAACTCCTCGGATATTTGGATAGACAACCTGTTAACTATACTTTAACCGAATAAAACCCCATGATATTTATATTCTGGTTACATGTCAATGGAAAAGTTTGCCCAAATCAATGATGGCCGACTTGCCATCCACGGAAGTGATCTCTGTGTCCGATATCCGGTTTACTTCCGGGTGTTGTAAGCACATCCGAAAGAATCAGGTATTGTATCCGGTCGAAGGGTTATTTGCACGTTAAGGTATTAAAAGGTCTTTAAATAGTGAATTCCTGGTTTATTAAATGTCCGTTCTAGTTAAAGGCAGCTATAGACGATATATGCTCGGTGGTTCATTGGAAAGCACAACTTGGGGTTTTCATACATTATTTTCTATAATATAGGAATGTGAAGGGAATGCTTATAATTGATTCTTAGAAATTATCTCTTGATGCACTTGTTCGGGGAATTGACCATTGCAATTTCTGCTTATTTTTTTACTGAATTCTGAAAATATCCCTTGAATCTTCCATACAATACTCTAGCATTTAGTGGGTTGTTAGATACTTAAAAGGCTGAGAAGTGTGGGTTCCTAGTTCCATCATGTTTTTTTCTGGATACATATATTTGCATGTACCAAAATACTTCATAAAAATTGCTTCCCTCCAGGATGTCGAATGCATAGGAAGTGGAACCAAGTAGTGATTATGCAGTATATAGATCATATAGTTGCGTAGCACTTTAAATGTAATGCCCTGCAACAAGTCAGAAAAGCATGATGAATTTGCAAATCCTAAGTGAGACCCGGTATAAATTGTAAAGAGATCCAACACGAAGAGTAATCCAAATAACCACATCTTTGTTTTATCATAACAGGTAAAATAGTTCATGTGACATTTAAAAATCTAAATAATCATCTTTTGTCCACCTTTTTTGACATGTAGGATAATAATGGCAACGTCATCAAATTTGGTAGCAAACAGAGGCCGGCGCTTTAAATGGGCCATAGAATTTGGAAACGTGGGAATCAGGTAATTTGTATATTTGTATATAATGTTAAGGAGAATATTGCCACTGCATTTGGGACATAATTAACCCCTTAAGGACTGAGCCAAATTCATCTCTTTCATATTAAGTGCACCCACACTTATTATATATCATTTTATTAAAGGACCACTATAGGCACCCAGACCACTTCAGCTTAATGAAGTGGTCAGGGTGCCAGGTCCAGCTAGGGTTAACCCTTTTTTTAATAAACATAGCAGTTTCAGAGAAACTGCTATGTTTGTTAGGGTTAATCCAGCCTCTAGTGGCTGTCTCTTGACAGCCGCTAGAGGTGCTTGCATGCTTCTCACTGTGAAAATCACAGTGAGAAGACGCCAGCGTCCATAGGAAAGCATTGTAAATGCTTTCCTATGTGACTGGCTGAATGCATGCGCAGCTCCTGCTGCGCATGCGCATTCAGCCGAAGAGGAGGAGGAGAGCGCCCTGCCCGGCGCTGGAGAAAGAGGTAAGTTTAACCCCTTCCTCCCCTCTCAGCGCCACGGGAGTGGGACCCTGAGGGTGGGGGCACCCTCAGGGCACTATAGTGCCAGGAAAACGAGTGTTTTTCTGGCACTATAGTGGTCCTTAAAGGAGAAATAGGGCTTTCATTTAACATCAAATATTTAGCTATGAAACATAATTTAATATGAATAAACAAAAATTTTTTACAAAAAAATAAAAGAACTTAAGAAATGCTGTTATTTAGTTCTGCATGACATTTTAACTATTAATGTCATAATATTGTTTGCTTTTACTGCAATAAAATACACATTTGTATTCAGCAATGTCTCACATGTAAAACAGTACCTCCTATGTACAGGTTTTATGGTGTTTTGGGAAGTTACAGGGTCAAATATAGCTTGTTACATTATTCATTTTTTTCACATTGAAATTCGCCAGATTGGTTACGTTGCCTTTGAGACCGTATGGCAGCTAAGGAATATGAATGAACCCCATGTTGGCATACCAATTGCAAAAGTAGACAACCCAAGGTATTGCAAATGGGGTATGTCCAGTCTTTTTAGTAGCCACTTAGTCACAAACACTGGCCAAAGTTAGCGTTAATATTTTTGTGTGTGAAAAATGCAAATAACTAATTTGAACGCCAACTTTGGCCAGTGTTTGTGACTAAGTAGCTACTAAAAAAGACTGGACAATACCCTATTTGCAATACCTTGGGTTGTCTACTTTTAGAAATGGTATGCCATCATGGGCATAATTCTCATTCCTGGGCTACCATACGGTCTTAAAGGTGACGTAACCAATCTGTCAAATTTCAATGTGAAAAAACTGAAACACGAGCCTTATATTTGACTCTGTAACTTTTGAAAACACCATAAAACCTGTACACGTGGGGTACTGTTATACAAAGGAGACTTTGCTGAACACAAATATTAGTGTTTCAAAACGTAAAACGTATCACAACGATATATATATGATCTAAGTATATATTGTTTTATTTTACACTGTTTATCTTTGCTTCATTTGATTTTAGGCAGCAGGGGGACTACCTGTCATTCCAGACACTCCCCCTACTGGCACTGCTATGGTCGACTATTCCGTCCATGTGATCGTGAGGTCCTCGCAAGGACCTCGCGATCACATGGCCCAGGAGGATCGCCGGCGAGCAGGTAAGTAACCTGGAAGGTGTGGACGTACTATGCCGCAACCAGCGTTTTTAGAGCTGGGTCCCCAAGGACGGCATAGCATGCCCACCGTCCTTAAGGGGTTAATGAATAATATTTACTGTTGACTTTACACCAGTCAATATTTTACTTAAATAGTAATTAAAGGGACACTCCAGACACCAGACCACTTCTGCCCATTGGAGTGGTCTGGGTGCCAACTCCCATCACCCTTAACCCTGCAAGTGTAATTATTGCAGTTTTTATAAACTGCAATAATTGCCTTGCAGGATTAGGTCCTCCTCTAGTTGCTGTCCATCAGACAGCCACTAGAGGGACTTCTGGGTTCTTAAAACACGAAAAGTGGTTTAGACGACACTGGACGTCTTCACGCTATGCATGAGGACATCCAGCGTCACTGGAATCCCCATAGGAAAGCATTGAATAATGCTTTCCAATGGGGAAGCCTAATGCGCGTGGCCATTGCCGCACATGCGCATTAGGTCTCCTTCCCCTTGACGCAGGAAATGGAGCTGACTTAATGGAGCTCCTTTCATCAAGCGTAGGAAAAATACATAAGACAAAGTAGTGCATACTTTGTCTTGTGTTTTAAAGAAAACTAGATCAGAAATAAAGAAACGAACAGATTCCGAGAGAGGAAAAGAAGAGGAAACGGTTGGATAAATATATTCGACATGGAAGTGCCGCTCTAAATTATTCTTTTCTTTTTTTTTTTTAAAGAGGTCGTAGTGAAAGAGGATCTCCACAAGACAGCATGTATCCAGTTGGCTATTCAGATAAACAGGTCCCAGACACTAGCGTGCAAGAGTCTGACCACATTTTAGTAGAGAAGGTGAGCCCAAATGCTTAGTCTGGATGCTTAGTATGGATATGCATAGTTATTTAATTAGAATAATCTACATGTTATCTGTTCCCACTGATCATTTGATTTCACTCCCTCCTGTTTGCAGCGTTGCTGGGATATCGCTCTTGGGCCACTCAAACAGATCCCCATGAATCTATTCATCATGTATATGGCTGGGAATACCATATCCATCTTCCCCATCATGATGGTGTGTATGATGGCATGGAGACCTATACAGGCGCTGCTTGCAACACCAGCCAGTGAGTTTCACTTTCTAGCTATATTTCATATTGCATTCCGTAAAATGAATTTACAAGTAGGCTCTCCAGCTGTTGTTAAAGTACGATGAGAAAGGTAGGTATTTGACCAATCATCCTGTGAAAACAGAAGCTGTGCCACATGGGCTGATTATTAGAGGAGACCTTTAAATGCAATGAGAATAATGAAAGACGTATTTCATGATCAATATGGTTTGGCTACTCCGCCTCTGAAGGAATTGACTATGTACGTTATATTCTAGTTTGTTTGGGCTCTATCATAATACCATGTTTCATAACATGACTACTGCAATACCCTTCTCAGTGGTTTTTCGTGTTCCCAGATTGCACCGCTGCAATCTATAATGGATGCGGTGGCGAGGCTCATTTTCCTGTCCGCTCGCACCTCCCACGCCTCCCCTCTCTGTCAGTCGCTGCATTGGCTTCCAGTTAGATATAGGGCTTAATTTAAAATTCTGCTGCTTGCTTACAAGTCCCTACATAATGCTGCTTCAACCTACTTATCCTCCCTAGTACACAAGTATGTCCCGTTTTGGCCCCTACGCTCTGCCAAAGACCTATGTCTATCCTCTGTCCATACTCCCACCTCTGATGCTCGCCTCCAAGATTTCTCCAGCGCTTCACCTCTTCTGTGGAACTACCTTCTCCGTAAGACTTTCACCCAGTCTCCACTCATTCAAAAAAAATCGTTGAAAACACACTTCTTCAAGAAAGCATATCATTTAAACTGTTAGCAGGTCTTTATCCTCCACCCTACATGACTCCTTTCCTGCAACTGTCAAAAATTACCAACTAAGCCCTCAGTGAATACTTTTCTAACATCTTACTTCGTACCCCTACTTTTACCCTTTATGTCACTATACCCCACTCCCTCTAGAATGTAAGCTTATTGAGCAGGGCCCTCCACCTCTCTGTTCCTGTACGTCCAGTTGTTTGGTTACAATTACATGTATGTTACTCCACCCATTGTACAGCACTATGGAATCTGATGGTGATATATATATATATATATATATAATATTAAGGTTCTTTATACTTTAAACGACCACTCTGTGCTTAGGTGCTTTATCTGTATGGAGTATTCGATTACAGAGACATTTAATAAAAGTGCAGATTTCTTCGAGAACTCTAAACCTTTCTAAATCAATTAGGAAACACCTTCCTGGCTGTCAGTCAGATAGGGAAGTTTCCTGCCTCCTTCCTTTAGCTCCGATGGCAGATGCACTGTGAGTGCTCAGTTGTAAACGTGCTCCCTGACTCTTCAGTCTCCTCCGGGGCTCCAGTGCCAACTTGTGTATCCAAGTCAAGTTACTGTCAGCATTGTGACTACTCACTGTGAAAGAGCACCAGGGTACGCCTGACACCATAACCAGTAAAGGTGCTTGTAGTGGTTATGGTGTTTTGAGTGTTTATTTTATTCTGTTTAAGACTAAATCTAAATAGATAAACCCCCTAGTGCTTTATAATATATAATGCATTGAGATTCCAATTGCTTTCAAGCATGCCTTAAGGTTTTTATATTCAGAAAGATTACTGCATGTTTTCAGGAAAGTAATGTTCTTGCTGTGGAACTATGGGCATATGTGGTGGAGACAGATCAAGTGGACATACTGGTTCAAGCTGTGCTGGATTTTCAAAAGTGATTACAAACCAGGCAATAAAAGTGAAGGGTGCATTTGTATTCAAGAGTTAGCCAGTTTAGATACTTAAACATATCATAAAATGTTAATTCATTGAAGACCAAAGAATATAATATTGGCAAAGATACTTATACAACATACACACAGTATATGATGCCAGATTTTTCTCACACTTGCTTTCTGTTGAAGGATTGAACATGATGTTTTTGTAGAGATCACCTAGGGACACTATAGTCATCAGACAAACTACAGCTTAAAGTAGGCTTACCAAAACTCAGGCCCTCCAGATGTTGCTGAACTACAACTCCCATGATTCTATGAATGAATTAGATAGGCTGAGAATCATGGGAGTTGTAGTTCAGCAACATCTGGAGGGTCAGCGTTTGGGGGAAGCCTGGCTTAAAGGATCACTATAGGGTCAGAAACACAAACATTTATTCCTGACCCTATAGTGTTAAAACCCCCATCTAGCCCCTCATCCCTCCATAAATATAGCAAACTCTTACTGTATTCAAGCCTGAAGCTGTAACTCTGCATGCTGTAACAAGCAGTCTGCTGACATCATCAGAAGTGGTGGCCTGATCCAATCACAATGCTTCTCCATAGGATTGGCTGAGACTGACAAGGAGGCAGATCCTGTGTTAGTCCTGAACAGTGATTGTGACTGTGTTGAATAATCATCAGTGGCAAGGGCAATTACCAGTGTTTTGTGCCTTTGACACATTTCTGGGTCTTTTCAGACCTTGTAGTGCCTAATTGTCTGCTTTTATAGTTGAAAGGTGTAGTGTGTTAAATGAACATTCCAAGCTTCATGGCCACTACCGCAGACTTAACAGTTCAACTTCTTAGCTGGGCACTACACCCTGCCTCTCGACTTCTGTTATGGAGAGGCAGAAGCTTCTGCTAGGCCCTTCCATTACTTCGAAGTGCATTCGAGGGGGGATGGGGAGCCTTGTCAAGTCTTATTATTGTTGTTTGTTGGTAGTAAAATTGTGCAAGGGTCAGTTTGCTGTAACTCAGAGAGGTCTGCTAAGATTGAGGCTCTAAGAGATGTAGGTCATCTCACTGTACACATTGTTTTACAAGCTACACTATCACAAAAGTTACTACATATCCAATCTTTGAGAAAACGTAAGAGTTAACTGTAGTATTAAAGGAACATTATCTGCACCATGAGCACTCTCATACCTTCCACTGTTCAACCTGGTCCAACTTTCTCAGCAAATACCAGAGCCTCCATGCTTAAAGTATCAGCTGATGGCCAATCACTGGCTGCTCGTAGAGAGTAATGCTCCAGAAATGTAAATACCTTGAAGCACTCCATTGCAAAAACTATATATAAAAATACTGTTTAGTAGATTATTAGATCAGTAGTAATTATACATTTTTAAGTCCTATCTGAATATAGCTTTCAAAAGCTGCAGATCTCTTATCTGAAACCTTTGCAAGCCCTCCTAGCCCATACCAGACTTTCTGTGGCTGTTCAATCACAGATTTTCAAATGAGGCACAATGGTTTTGTGCGGTACCATCTTCACGGTTTGATAGATCCCTAAAGGAATGGTAATATTCAGTCTGTTTAGTGGAAAACAGTGATTTTAGGGCCAGAGACAAGATCTTTGAATAGGATGTCACCCATAAAGTAACATTCTATGTAGGTACGGATTATACGCCAAGTTAAACAAAAATCTTCTCTCTCCCCTCCTATTCAGCTTTCAAGCTTCTGGAAAGTTCTGGTCAGCGCTTCCTACAGGGTCTGGTGTACTTGATTGGGAACCTCCTAGGCTTGGCATTGGCAGTCTATAAGTGTCAATCAATGGGCCTTCTGCCTACTCATGCATCTGATTGGCTGGCCTTCATTGAGCCACCAGAGGTGAGACTTAATAAAAGCTTCTTGTGCAGATTTATCTTGTTCCAAACAAACAGTCTAAATTTTAAATTTTTTTTTTTTTTTTTTTTTTTCAGAGAATGGAATACACTGGCGGCGGTCTCTTATTATGATTGACTAAGGATGCAACAGAAGCTTGAATCTACATTGCCCTTGTTATGCTACTATGTCCTTTTAATAAATTATTATAACTTCTAGCTTAGTGCAAATTATGATTTTTTTTTTTAATGATCCAGGAAAAAATGACCTTACAAGCACATACTTAGAAAACACTTTTATTTGGATGTATGTCACAGTTTAGAGCATCTTGCCCTTCCCTCCCCACACACACACACACACACACACACACACACACACACACACACACACACACACACAATAAAACCACAGAGACAAATTAGGCTTGTGAAACCACAGAACAATTGAACATTTGCGATCAATTCTGCAGCCTTCGCTTCTATTTCAGTGCGACTTCCACCAAGTACAGAAACAAGTTTACAGGCAGTGCATACCGCACTTGCAGGACTAGATTTATAAAATAAATTTAACACTTGGAATGCTGCATTGACCAATAAATTAAAACCTGTGTACGTACATAGCTTGTCTTATTTTAAAACAAAAATAAAATTAGTTTTTGGGGTTTTAACAACCAACACTTAATGAACTACAGAAACTTTTTTTTTTTTTTAAGTGGTCTCTTAACTGACCATTGGCATTTGTGTCCTTGATATTGGGAATGGCAAATATTAAACTTTAGCACACAGACTTTAAGGGAGAGAAGAAAATACTTCTTGCTTAAAAAATTTCACTTCCTATTACACTTCTAAAACGGAGGCAGGCAAATCTGATCCGCAGGGGGTGCAAGCAAGGCCAGTTTGAAGATGAGTTAGTGCATGAGAGTCAATACTGACTTAAGTAAACCCTACCATGAATGAAAATATCCATGAACCATTCAAAACAAAATATGGTGACAATTCTCACTCAGGATAGATTTGCAGTTTAATAAACAAGGTTGATACAAGTAAAAAGGTAAATACAATAATTGCATAGCATTCTTGAAAAATAAATAATGGAATTTGTATTTTTAAAGTGACCGTTCAATCACCAACTGATGCAACGGTTATGGTGAAATGGCATACAAATTTGTCTCCCTACATTTTCTGAGTACTTTAGAACCAATTTGTTAGAAACAGCTGCTGAGACTTCTAATCCTATATAGACTGTGTCCCTCTCTCAGGCAAGTTTTGTACTTGTAGGCTTTAAGCCAAACCACAAATGGTTTTCTTCATAAAACATGGATAAAGTTATTCTGCACCACAAAAAATATAAAGATGTCCAGCATCTATTAACTTCTCGAATAGCTTGTCATGTTTTTCATGAATAAAACTATATGCAGCCTACCTTCTTTAAAAAAAAAAAAAAAAATGTAAATCTTAAAATATCGCCATTAAGGAACAAGCCACACACATAAGGCAGTTCAGCTTGAAGTGCTTCATGTGTCTGGAACCTGTCACATATGTGACATGTTTATAATTGGGAGCAGACTTTGTGCTTGGGGAAAAAGGAACTTGCAAAGGCTGCAGACAAGAAATCTGAAGCTTTTGCAAGCTATTTTTAGATATACTCTAAAGAAAACATGAAGAAATAAATGTATGTGTGCTTTCTTTGGCATATGTCTACTAAGTAGTTAAAATCAATACATTAATCACAGATTTGCGCTTTTTTTTTTTTTTTTAAAGAAATTAAAAATTAGGAATGGGTCATATGCATAATGAAATGTTCTGTTAATATTAAATGCATAACCTTATAATAATACACATTTAACAAACTCTAGTCTTTAAATAACATTAAAAAAAAAAACACAAAACTAAAGTACGATCTAAAACAAATGGTAACTACATTACTGTTTCAATCTGTGTTGCCATCCCAACTGTGGGCCGTGCAACATAATTACATTACTCAGTGATCTCTCTTGAGTTTTTTGGAACAGGATAACATTTTTATTATTTTTCAAGTCAAACCGCAGTGCGCAATGTTTGGCTTTGTTGATTCAATCTAGCACTACATACACAAGATGATGTCCAGTCAATGTTTGCCAACTGAGTGCATGGCACAAGTATTTATATTAACCTGTGAACTAGCAAGTACTGGATTATATTTACACTGTGGTAATATCCACAATGGTTATCTGGTAGCAATCTACATAGGGAAAATTTTATTTATATAGACCTGTACACAGGACAGAACTGATAATGTAAATGTTTTCTCATGTTTGATTTGATGCAGTGCATGGAATCATCACAATATATGGCATATTAATTGCACCCATGGATCAGCACTGCCCGCCTCTGTAACAGGTTAAGAAGAGCTAAAGCAGCAGCTACCAGCACCATTCCTCAACACGTCATCTATGGAAAAGACATAGCAAAAAAACTCTTGGTCTTGAGGACTGGTACTAGTAGACTCTGTACTAAAGCACTCCATAACAATTAAAGAGACACCGCAGAGACCAACACAATTTAAGGAATTTGGTAGACCTTAATATGCTTGATTTTGTTGTGTACTCAAATCCATAGTTTTTGCACACAAAAAAATAAAAATAAATGTTTTGGAGAATGCTGCATCATAGCCACATCCCCTCATGCCAGAAAGACAAATGTCTGCATACAGTTTCAGCCTCTAACAGTCTTGAGTGAGATGCTTTTAATTCACAACCTGACTGCAGACCGTCTCTTCTTCTAATGCAGGGAGTTTTGTAGTTCATATATGTGATAAGGAAGTTTTATTTCTGGAGTTAAGGGGTGTGGCTATGTAGGCAGGCTTATGCTGCAGCATTCTGCAAAGATTTGAACAGGCCAAAAATATAAAATTAAAAGATTTATCAAATGCATTCCAAGTTATATTGGTGCTCAGAGTGTACCTTTAAAAATTGGGAGTAAATCCTACATAAATAGTTATGACAAGCATACCAAACTTTGAGATTTTGTAAATATCCAACAGCACAGTTTACACTAAGCATTTAATGCAACACTTCTGTAGAGAGGTGTGTGCCATGTCACAGTTCTGGCTTGAGCCTCTTCTCCAGAACTGCAAGGGATACCAGGGGAGGGGGGAGACTGGTCATTTTCTATCTGCTCTTTGGGAGAAAATAAATTTGCCTTTGGCATTCATAAAAGTGAAAAAAAGGAAAAAAATAAAATAATTTTCCTGAAGAGTACTTTTCCTTGCGGTTTGTTCTGAAGCAGATGAAGGAGGATTATAAAGATACAGTCTCTTTATCTCCACCCTAAAGCCAGCTGTCACTTCCTTAAAATACAGAGAGGTCTGCTTTCAGAAACTGAACTGGCCTAATGTGCTGTGGAAATGTGTTACATCCGAAGTCCACTGTTAGGAGTAGATTGTGATCACCTCCGTTCCACCTCCTCTTACTAATAGCACACGCTCCAGACCTTCAGTCAGTACTTCTAGAAACTCCATATCTGTACAAAGGGTGAGTTAAAGATATGTAGAAACAAGGAAGGGTAATAGAGAAAAGCACCATATTCACATTAATATGACAGAATATTGCAGCAACCAAAAATGTACCCATCACCTAAAACATATCAGTATAGCAAAAATAAAAAATAAAAAATAGAGAGATATATATATATATATATATCTCCATAGATAAACATATTAATTATATTAAAATCTCAAAACAAGACTAAACTCAGGGGTTACTACCTAATAATAAACCACCCCTCTAATATTTCACTTATTTTTCTTCTTTAAAAAGGATACAGTTTTCATCACCCTGTGGATTACGTGGGGGGCCCGGCATATTGAGCAGAACTAGTTTGGCGTCATGAGATTTATTAACAATGACTTCATTCAGTTTCACTGCTGTGTGCATGCGTCGCACATTAGACTGATCCCTAAAAATAATTGAAATATTATACATTAAAATTGCATATTACTAAAAGCCACTCCTGACCAGAATATAAAGCCTCACTCACGGTCGCATACTAAGCAGGTCCTGGAAGCTGGGCATTGGTTTGCTTTGGGCAACACGAACAGCATGATGTTTGTCTTTGGTCCATGTCATGTGCACTTTGTTTGGGCCAGCATCTGTGTCATCATCTTCATCAGAGCCAACGCTTGTCAGACGCAGCATAGAATTACGGTCTTTCACAAGCTGAGCCTAAATGGACAGTCAATATATGGAGATATACAGCAATGCCTATGTCATGTAGTACATTACTCTTGTCAGTACCTTCTTAAAGTTAAGGAAACTTGTACTACTTGGTTGGTACTCCAACTCACCAGTATAAGTATACCATATGTAAACGGCTTTGCAATTACATGCTCACACTCTGCAGTAACTATTAAGTGACCAGCCTCATGCTCCAGCCATCTGTTGTATATCATCTCTCTTTACGGCCAGCCATTCCATGCAAAACAGCTTTACAAACAACTAGATAATGTTGCCAAATATATCAAGAGATTACGTAGTACAAGTTTGGCATTTTCTGTCAATAGTAGATGGCACAAAAAAAAAGGTGTTTGTGCCATTAAGTTAGAGGTAAAATAAAGGTTAGGATTAATATTCGAAAAACAGAATTCAGAAACAATTGCGAGTGTCAGACTTCTGGCTGAAGTGGTAGGGACGAATGCAATTAAGAGATTTAAGAATAAATGGGATATAGGCATAATATTCCCGTTCTGTAAACATGAATACTAGACATTATAGACATGATTTTTGTTTGCTCAATGTTGTCAAATACTTGGCACTTTAATATAATTTACAAATTTATCAGTCAGTCATTTCATCCACAGTATGAAAAGCAGTTTACTTTGAAGGGACAATCAACTGCCCAAATGGGTGAAAAAAATATATAAAACACAGTTTATTAAATATACCACCAATTAGTTTTTTTAATGCATGTATTCATTGGGAGTATATCTTAATAGTTTGAAAAAGCTGCAGTTCTTGTGAATTTTGCAAGCCTTCCCCTTTTTCCTTGTTAGTGGAGTGCTCGCTTGTATATGCATGTACATCTGAAGTGCTTTTGTGTTGTGGAGTGGTCTTTAAGTTAGTAACTGCTCCTTAAAATCCTTACCTCTCGTTCCCGATCAGTCTTTGAGAGGCGCATTTGTCGCAGCATTTGTGATCTCTGCTCCATCATTAGCGTTCGCTCATAAGTATATGCAGAAATATCACTGTCATGCTGTATGTAAGACAGATGTATATTAGGCTTGTGCCATTGTTTCATTTATCATAATGCACTAACAAGGCCCTCTTCGTTTCTCACCATTTCCACCACTTCCACCTCAGCTGCAATACGCAGGTGATAGAGGAAAGTAGCCAGATCCTTCTTCATCTGAATACTGTTATCTTCCATCTGAGCAACAGTGAATATACGCATCTTACATTTACGCCATACCTAGAGACGAAGTGGGAAAATAATGTCAATTACATGCAAGAAGACAGACAGTGGGGGAGACAGAATGCCACGGGAGCGGGGTTAGAATGAAGTGCATTACTAAAATTAGAAGGTGAAAATATAACTTAGACAAGAACCAGTGAGCAGCTGCAAACATTGAGGTCAATTTAAACAAAGATCATATAATATCTAAAAACTCACTTTGTGCTGTTTCAGCAAGAAAGGCAGAAGCATTAGCATGCCTCCATCATGTACCACCCACCACACATCTATGTGCCCTTCTGACAGAGGCTCCCGGGAACCAGGAAACAGAGATATATTCTTCGCAACCAAAAGTGCCTGCCGGGCTGCTGTAGTAACACGCACTGTAGCTAGGGGACAAGGTAGCATTAACAAACTATATTAGATTTAGTCAATCAATCAATACATGTGGTTTTATACTATTGCACACTATCGTGCAGCACAGGGAAACAATAAGCCCTTACTGATGAAGGATTTCCAAGCACGGGAGTCTTCACTCTGCCTCCAGCCATTAGGCCAGCCCATAATTACAGTGTTGTGTCTCATTCCTCCAAGACCACAGGACTGGATGAGATGTGACAGGCCCTCTTTCAGCTTCTGTGCTACAACCACTTGACAGAAACCCTTTACACGCTCCTGCTCCATCATATGTTTCAGTGCCTAAAAGAAAAGACAAGAATGGATGCATGGTTAAAAATGTAAAATGGCCAAGTACAATTCAAGTTTGAAAATGGAAGACGGCGATCGAATAACTATAACCGACCTGTTCTGCTGCCACCGCCTCCCCGTAATTCTCTAGGTAATCCCCAATTAGGACAGATCCTACAATCGTTAGACCCTTTCCAGCCTTTAGTTGAGATGCAAAGGAGAGAAGATGAGGACGAGACACATGTAGATCAGAGTCCAGTTTTACCAGAACAAGCAGCTGCGGTCTAGGGAGTGGATATATTATCATTATTATAATTTATATTCTCACACACCGAGATATAGTTCGTGGCTTTGCTCATAACTTCACTCACCTCCAGTTTTTGGTATGTGGTGGTCCTGCTTCCAGTCGTAAGAGGGCAAATCGAGCTGCACTTAGGGACAGACCACGAATCCCATCACCCCATTCTTTTTCTGCCCTACATATTAAAAGAAAATAAAGGGTATTACATTTTGATAAGTTGTTTATTATGACCAAATTGTGACGATAGTTTGGTTTGTTACTGGTTGTTACAGAATTAAGGAAGGCAGTACATAAGTGAATTGTTTCCTGCAGGAGTTACTAAAAATGATAAGCAAAATGTGCTTACCCATGGTATTCAATGTACTTGTAGATCATACCAGCGATGACCATGGAAATGAGGGCATAATACCAGGAGGAGATAAACATGAGTGCCAAGCATAGTGCCATTCCCAAGAAAGACAGGGTCCTGAAAGAAGAAATATACATGATAGTATTCCCAGCTATGGATTAAGAGTATCGTTCACTTTTTGACCAAAAAAAGTATGCTTAAGTCAACAATGGGCAGGACCTACCAGTGGTAATACTGGAAGCGAGGGCGCCAGTTTGGAGATCGAAGTAGAGTCTGTAATCCACAAGCCAAATTCACAAAGAGATAACACATCAAGAAAAACCTGTGGACAGACAAGGAGATGGAGAGACAGATGATTGAGAGAAAAAAAAAAAAAAAAGTTAGGGAGGACATGCAGATAAGGAAGCTGGATAAAGACGTTAAAATATGTTTCTTCTAAAAATGCAGGGCACAGAAAAACAAAACATTTAAGTTAAAGTTTTCTGTAATTGCAAAGTTTGGTTCTGTATTTAATGCTTTTCCGTAGTCCTAAAATTTTAAGAACCACATGGTCTAGAACCACCCTGGAATGAATGCAAGCAGTACTGAAATTAAAATAAACACATTGACCCCTGTCACATAAATAGAGTATAAAAAAATAAAATAAAATGCATACATTGACAAAATCGGGGCAACCAGATCTAGAGAAGCAATGAGAATCCCCAGCTCGGCAATCACAGCTGTAAGGAGAAGGGCCCATGTTGGTTCCCCGTTACTCTTTCCATGACCAAATACCTGTAACAAGAAAAAGGTTTAGCTAATTAGAGGAAGGAATGGAGTTGAGTTAAAGTACAAAGGTAAGACAACAAACGTAACCTGCTTTTATCTGTCACACTGCATGCCGCTTAATGAATTTTAATAACCATACTTTGAAATCCAGTTGCTTTTATCCATCTACTCTGTTCATTCATCTGTGTGGATGGACCATCACATTCCATACAGCAAAGGATTGGGGTCACAGCAGAAAAAACAGGTATGAGCTGCCTGTGGATTTAAATCCTGCGTGCATATATTACTCCAGCGTTTGTGGATAATTGATTATATTTGGATATTGTTATAGATGAGAATGGTAGACTAAACTGAATACAAAAAATATAACTATGCACAACTTCAGTCTCATAATCTGAGAACAGCTCCCCCTCTACTTCAATTTCTTGTCTCGTCACCGGTTACATTTAAAGGGACACTATAGTCACCAAAACAACTTTAGCTTAATGAAGCAGTTTCAGTGTATAAATAATGCCCCTGCATTCTCAATGCTCAATTATCTGCCATTTAGGAGTTAAATTACATTGTTTATGCACCCTAGTCACACCTCCCTGCATGTGACTTTTACAGTCTTCCTAAACACTTCCTGTAAAAAGTCATCTAATGTTTACACTTCCTTTATTGCAAATTCTGTTTAATTTAGTTTTTCTTATCTCCTGCTCTGTTAACAACTTGCTAGACCCTGCAGTAGTCTACTGTGTGTGAATAAAGCTCAATATACTGAACAGGAGATCCAAACTTTTAAAGTAAGCACAGAGGGAGGGGAAACTTTTACACTGAGCCAGTGTTTTGGAATGTCCCTGTGAGTCGCAAGCACAGTGCTACAGGCTTCACCTTGCAGACATACTCACAGCGCGCTTGCAAGAGAAGAAGCTCATTATGTCCATTGTCAGCATGCAGTACGTGCGACAATAGATGTATCTAATGCACAGGATTCACAGTCAGTCCAGAACAGGATTCCAGGCCAGAGGTGTTACTAAATTTACCAATATTTCTACACAGGCTGCTTGCACCATGACCACTTCAAAAAGCCTAACTGGCCATGATGATTGGAGTAATCATTTAAGTAACACTCCAGGCATTGTAACAACCTATGATCTTTGCACAAGTAAAGGTGCAAGAAGTTACCCAAAATCTTTTAACCTAGTCAGGGTTAAGTTATGCTTTCCCCTACTCAAAGCACTTTTACTTCTGGCTGAATCCTCTACAACAGTGTTTCTCAACCTTTAAATGAGAAGTACCCCTGCAGGTCTACACAAAATTCTTAATTACCCTTGTCTCAAGAACGTAATTTAAATTCCAAATAAAACATGTAGACACTGATATTTAAGTTAAATGTGAATAGTGTATATAAGAAGATGTATTAACTATTGATCTGAAGTAGAAAAGTCACAAAATTAAAATTAAAAATCAACACACAATAGTTACACACAGAAGAAACGGACACACAAACATATAGTTTTGGGGAGATGGGATAGTAGTGGGAAGGATAGTGGCTGCTGCAGGGGTGTAGTAGCTGCCAGTGACGTATTAGCCGCGAGGCAAACAAGGCATTTGCCTTGGGTGTCATTTTCCAGGGGGCGGCAAAAAAAGCCGCCCCCAAATGCCCAGGGAAAATGCCTTGTTAGCCTTGCGGCTAACTGACATGCCAGACGGGCTGCTGGGCGGGCGGCGCTGGCGAGGGAGCACTTTCCCCTGAGCACTCTGCTCAGCTCCCTCGCGCGCCGCCCGCAGAGTGATGGCGGAAGCCGGAATATGAAGTCATATGATGCGCGCAGGGGTGGGGTGGGGGGGAGCCTGAGTTTTGTCCTGCCTAGGGCAGCACAAAACCAGGATACACCACTGGTAGCTGCAGGAAGGGACAGTGGAAAGATGTTGTAGTGGGAGGAATAGGAATAGGGGTTGTAGTTGGAAGAATAGTGGATGCAGTGAGTGACAGGGAATACCGGGAGGGAATAGGGCTATATTCGGTGACAGCACCAGTAACTGGTCCCAAGTTTATTGTTCATGGCATTATTAAAAATCCGGCTCTGGTTCCTGGCTTTTGGGTGCGCGTATCCCCTTGGGTACACATACCACAGGTTGAGGAGATAGGCTCTAGATGTCCTAAGATTTTTTCGTAAAGGAGAGATTAGTACATGCACAGTTGGGTCTATAACTTCATTCATAAAATCATAAACAGAGACACATCCTGAGATTTGCAGCATAAAAATCTTCAAATGGGGTTCAACTCCAGCATGACGTTTCAACTTTTGTTTTTAGGCTTTTTTTGTGTGTTCTAAACACAATGCTCAGGGCAAGAAAGGCTACATGGGCATAGTAGTCTGTGACTATCTCACCCTTAAGAAGGGGATTATTCCATCTTTGGCTATAGCCTGCAGAAGACGAGGAGCTCCAGTCAGACTCTGCAGACCTGCACCACAAGTAGAGAAGAATGATCCAATCACAATGACCCATGGTGACGGCCATGAGAGGGCTCCTACTACCAATGTCCCCTTCACCGCATCTCCAAACCTGTAGAAGACAAGACAAAAAAATAAAATAAGTTATACCCACCATAGTGTCAAATATTTCCAGAGACTGCACTGATCATGCATGACATACTTGTCCCTGAGCACCACTCCATCTATGCAGGCTCCAAACAAGATTACATTGCTGAGATCTGAGAACCACAGTCAAGGCAAATAGATTGAATGGTTAAATAAAATGCTTTTTATGAGCTTTTAAAGAAAAGAAAAGAGCATACACTTACACAAAGAGGCATACATAATTGCACAGCAGTTGAAGACTCGTCTGTTACCAAACTTTACTTACACCTACCTTTCCATAGAGGGGTGTGAATTCAAAGAAAGGAAAAAAAAAATGAGAGAGAGAATAGGCAACAGATAGAACAGTAAACAAGATTAATAAAAAGGTTGTATTAAATTGCATCGCGTTTTACACCACATGGGGAATACTTGGTACATGTATATAAGGGTCGACCTAATCCCTTCTTATTGTTACAAAATATATCTTGATATGCACAGCTAGAGAGTATAATCCAAGGCACCAAGCATACAGGCTCTGAGAGTACACACTTACACCTTCAGCACTACTGGAATAAAAGGCCGGGTTTCCCCTGGATAATTTATACTTTCATCTTCAGCACCTCTCACCAAAGTAAACCCTTCAAAAACAAACCTTTTGAATGAGGGAGTGAGGAACTGTCAAGATCAGAAAAGTGAGTTTCTCTTTAACAATTCATACTCTTCCATCTTAAATAAGTTTACATTAAAAAAGTGTATCCCACATATTAATGAGGAAAGGTTGCTTTGTTCCAAAAATGAAGTGCACACACATGGGCAGATGATTGATATTGTATAAAAAGCTGCTTGCAATATGCATTACATCAGAACATTAAAAAAAAATAATAATAATTAAATAAGAAAAAATGGAACCATGTTCTGAGAAAAAAAACAAATTAATTACCTTCAATTAACTGGCAAGTGAGCTGTGCAACAGGTGACAATATGCCTTTAATTTAATAACTAATATTTTGCTACGCATTCCATATTCATATGTTTCCAAAACTTATATAATCATATGAAAAAAATAATATTAATGCATAACTTATGAATGCCATCAGTTTCTAAATTCTATGCTACATGTCTATGGAATTCAAGATGTCCCTTAGTAGTTAATGCCAAATATGGAGCTGGTAAATAAATGCAGGCAAATCTGGGTATATATGAAATGTGGTCTCCTTTATAGCCTTTAAAATAGAATTGGCTGTGGCAGGAAGGATACACAATCTAAATATAATCTCAGACAGGTGCCAGGAGCACAGATTCTGCCAAAATGCAAAGACATTTAAGAAGAACAAAGAATATCAACATACTATGCAAAACAGTTAATTTATCACTACAACAATGGATAGCTTTCAATCCAGATCTTTCTCAGGCCATTAATACCCCCCCAAAATTCTATTATCCAAGATATATGTATTTTATACAGACAATGTAGATAATAATCAGTGATGCATCTAAAGTAATCAAATACATGGTATTATTTTACAGACTATGATTTGGAGACTGCAATTTACGTTTATGACCCACTCCCTGCACTCAAACATTATCTCTGGTCTAATACTAGTCACATTACTTTAATAACTGTATGTACAAAAATGGTTGAAACCACGGTTGGCTATTTTTCAACTACAATTTTTTTTGTTGTGCAACACTAAACAGCCTATTTTAAAGGGACACTAGAGTCACCAGAACAACTACAGCTTATTGAATTTGCAATGTGCATGTGCAAGAAATATATAGCAGCTACAACACTTAAGTATGGATCTCTCAAATCCACCAAATATAAAAAATGCAAGTTGGAGAGTTAAAAGAGGGGTGGTAAGAACCAATCCACTTGAAAAACTCCTAAAATTGGAGCGCTAAAATAGTACTTACCCCCACAACACAGGGGTAATGGGTATCCCGAACAGAGGTTGGATATATAGAACAAAGACAACAAAATGTACAATAGTGAAGTATATCAAGACTAGTGTAAAAAAATGGTCCTAAGCTATAAGAGACAAACTCACAAGTGTACTTCATTTGGCTCTACACTTGTGAGTTTGTCTCTTATAGTTTTTTATGTTCTGGTGAGTAGAATCATTACCTTCAGGCTTTTTGCTGTAAACACTGTCTTTTCAAAGAAAATGCAGTGTTTACATTACAGCCTAGTGATAACTTCACTGGCCACTCCTCAGATAGCGGTTAGAGATCCTTCCTGGGTCATGGCTGCCTGAAATGCATCCAAACATTCAGTGTCTCCACCCTCTGCATGCAGACACTGAACTTTCCTCATAGAGATTCATTGATTCAATTCATCTCTATGAGGAGATGCTGATTGGCCAGGGCTGTGTTTGAATTGTGCTGGCTCTGCCCCTGATCTGCCTCTGTCAGTCTCAGCCAATCCTATGGGGAAGCATTGTGATTGAATCAGGCTACCACTTCCACTGATGTCAGCAGGAAGGTCTAAAGGAAACAGGGACAAAGCCAGCAGCTTCAGACTTGAATACAAGTAAGATTTTACTATACTTAGGGAGGCATGATGGGGACAGGGGGGCTAGATGGTGATTTTAACTCTATAGGGTCAGGAATACATGTTTGTGTTCCTGACCCTATAGTACTCCTTGGATTTCATTAGACATACCGCACTATTATTGTGTTCCCGTTTTCTCTCTGAATGTGGAATATCAAGATTGAAGAAAGGTGGGGTGCTACTTTGAAAGGTACAACTGCATATAAAGTTAGCTGACACCTTTGGGCTCTACACTATGAGAGTGTACATACAACTTCAGTTTTTTTTTTACATCTCAGATTGCTACCCTCTGCACTATATATTGCTTTCTCTGTTTTTATTATTCATGTGCTGCTTTGACCTCCCATTTTCACTGTATATGGCAAGAGATTAAGATATTACTTCTTGCATAGTGCTTCATAGAGCTCAATGTTACCTGGGACAAGTGAGTGGATGGACTTATTTGATGTCTATGAAAAATATTTATTCTGCTGATAGAATTGTAATTATAACATGTGTAGAATATGTAAAATATGCTAGAAAATTCAAAGTTACAGCTATTGCGAACATAGCTTTAATGTGAGAAAACAGAATGTAAACCTACTAAAACAATGTGCTACCTCTTTGACCCATCGCATCGAGATATATTAGATGTAGACTAACACCATATGAAATCCTTTACATAACCTTAGATGTGTTGACACAAGTCTGGTATTTAGAATTCTCCTCCAAACATACTGATATCTCCGGGCTAAAAAAAAACAAAACTGTTTGCTTTTTGGCACTTGTTCTGAACTGTAAGTGCAAGGCATTCACATATTAGCTATTGAAAATTTAGCCCTGGAGAATTTGCTGGGGGGGGGGTGTGGTGTGGTGTATATATATATTTATTGAGAAAGACTCGACTTTTTTTCATTTGCTAAGTCCTGAGAGTGCATCTCTTCATTTCTAATATTAATATATATTATATATATATATCTCTCTCTCTCAAACTGGTAAGCATGACCAGCACTCACGGTTTTGTTGAAAGCTAAAAGTTGTAGGTTTTATTCATACATGTTAAAAAAAATGACAGCTCGACGTTTCAGTATTGTTCCTGATGAAAGTCCCAGAAGAGGACTGAAACGTCGAGCTGTCATTTTTTTGACAATTCTTCCTGGATGCATTAGTGTGTGACTTTATATTACCTGTTCTATAATATACATTATTTAATGAAAAAGCATGGGCAATAAGGATACAGACTAACGATGTGGTAAGGATTGCAAGAATAGTGCCAATCGGTATGGATTTCTGAGCATCCTTGAGATCCCCGGAGCGATTCGACCCAGCCATAATTCCTGTAAGGCGGCAAAATGTAACATTTATTAGTCACTCATTAAATTGACACAGAATCTCTCATACTAAACCATTTTAACCCCTTAAGAACACATTTCACATTTTAAGGACAAATGTCAGTCATGCAATCCTTTTACTTCTGAAGCTGTGTCCTTAAGAGGTTAAAGGTTCTTGGAGGGTGATCACACACCATGTCTTAAAGCTATCTAAATTTATATGAGGAGAAATTGCTAAAATAAATTTGCAGTTCTGCTCTCCCTTAAAATCAGTGCAGTGGTACAGTTTCCTGCCAGGAAAGCCAAACTTCCTGAAGAACAAACTGGGCATCTATCCATCAGGTATTGGTCATAAACAAGGTAGTAGGAAACCAGCCTTTCCTGCTCAGACACAAATTATCCTAAAATGTAAATGCACAGACATTTTTTCCCCCCTTTTGTGAGGTGGTGAATTGATAACATAATGGCAAAATGTATGCCAAAAAAAAAAAAAAAAAAATTACATTTAAATATTCTCCTATACAAAATATTATTTTGGCTTAAATTATGAAATTCAAGTTTATCAATTCATTGTTAGGAAATTAAACCTGTAACAAATCAGACATCTGTAATAAAGTCAAGTTAAAGGGATACTATGGTCACCAGAACACCTACAGCTTATTGTATTTGTTCTGGTGGGTATTATCAGTCCCTGCGGGTTTTTTTGCTGTAGAAAAGGCAGTGTTTACATTACAGCCTAGGGATAACTCCAGTGACCACTACTCAGATGCAAATAGAGTTGTTTCCTGGGGCAGTGCAGCTATAGTGAAAAAAGTAACTTAGCTTTATTCATCAACTGCCACAAAGTGTGAACGTTTCAGTTCTTGTGCAGAACTTTCGTCAGGAGAACTGAAAGTTGACACTTTGTGGCAGTTGCTGAATAAAGCTAAGTTACTTTTTTCACTATACCTATGAAGTCCCTGGAGTGCTATTATCTACTATTTTGTTCTATTATTGTTGCCAACAAGTACCAGGCTTAACAGTATTGATACTGGAGTGCAAGCAATTGGAGATATATATATATAGATAGATAGATAGGTAGATAGATATACACACACACCGTATATACTCGAGTATAAGCCAAGTTTTTTGGCACATTTTTTGTGCTGAAAAACCCCAACTCTGCTTATACTCGAGTCAATGTCTGTATTGTGGCAATTTACATTGCCACAATACAGACCAGGACCGCCGGGCTCATTACAAGCCCGGCGGTCCTGTTAGGGGCTGACAGTGAGCGGTTACTTACCTTCCTGCAGCTCCTGTCAGCTCCCTTCTCCTCCGTGCAGCTCCTCTGTCAGCTCCGTTCTGCTCACAGTGTAAGTCTTGCGAGACTTACACTGTAAACAGAACGGAGCTGACCGAGGAGCTGCACGGAGGAGAAGGGAGCGGACAGGAGCTGCAGAAAGGTAAGTAACAGCTTGCTGTCAGCCCCCCCCCCACTGAACTGCCAATGCCACTGGACCACCAGGGATTCAGTATTTTATTTTAATAATAAAATAATATTATTAAAATAATATTATTATATTATTATTTTAATATTTGCATTATTTTTTTTTAAAATGTTTTTTTGTCCTCCCTCCCTGCTTGTTGCCTGGCCAGGGAGGGGGGACAAAAACATTTTTAAAAAAATAATGCAAATATTAAAATAATAATATAATAATAAAATAATAAAATATTAAAATTATAATAATATAATAAAATAATATTATTTTATTATTATATTATTATTATTTTAATATTTGAATTATTTTTTTTAAATGTTTTTTTGTCCCCCCAACAAGCAGGGAGAGGGGACAATAATGCAAATATTAAAATAATAATAATATTATTAAATAATATATTAAAATATAATAAAATTAAAAAATTAAAATAAAAATGCCCTCCCCTCATCCAGTTTACACACACTGCACAAACACACACACTGCATTATATACACACTGCATTATATACACACACACAAACACACACTCTGCATTCATTCTATACACACACTGTAAATAAATATTCAATTAATGTAATTTTATTGGGATCTAATTTAATTTAGAAATTTACCAGTAGCTGCTGCATTTCCCACCCTAGGCTTATACTCGAGTCAATAATTTTTCCCATTTTTTTGTGGTAAAATTAGGGGCCTCGGCTTATATTCGGGTCGGCTTATACTCGAGTATATACGGTATATACCGTGTTTTCCCGAAACTACACCCTACCCCGAAAATAAGCCCTAGCTGGCCCTTTAAATGCCACAGCCAACTGAGCGCTCTATAGACTGCCTCACCTCCCCTTCCCTGTAGCGTGGCCAAGGGGGTATTACAGGGCGGGGGAGTTTTAAAGGGAGGGGGAGAGTATTACAGGGAGGGGGAGAGTATTACAGGGAGGGAGGGAGAGTATTACATGGAGGGAGGGGGGAGAGTATTACAGGGAGGGGGAGGTGAGGGTCTCTGGGGGGGTTACACAGCGCGGACACCAGCTGACAGACTGGCTCTAACCCCTACCCTGAAAATAAGCCCTAGTGTGTTTTTTGTGACTGAAATTAATATAAGACCCGGTCTTATTTTCGGAGAAACACGGTATACACACACACACACACACACAATTCGTAAGGGTTCTGCAGTCTAGCTTTCCGAGTTGTTCCTTGCCCGGTGCTCGGCTGCACAGCATACAATATGAAGAAAAAAGCCAGCACTCAAGGACTTGTAGAAAAAAAAAAAATGTATCTTACAACTTAACCCAATACAGTCAACGTTTCAGTTCATATTCATGAACTTTCCAGCACACTCTGTCAATAAACAGTAACCTTAAAGCTAACAAAATGTAATAGTTTAAATGGACCCTTAAAAATACCATACATATTCCAGCTTATGGTGATGTGGCGACAACCCTAATTTTTGTCAAACTGTTTAACCAGTATAACAAAAAGTATGTCTCTCCTGGCACCAAACGTTTGCAGCGATGATAAACAGGAGTTTCACTTCCACATTATCCATCCAAAGCAGAAAACAAACAAAGGCTTGAGTGCTAAGAGATGCTAAACCCAACACCCAAAGATCATTACGGTCATCCACATTTGTATAATTAAGTTTTATTTCTGTAAGATCCCACCAACCGTAGAGGTGTCTGGCTTTGGGTGCCAGTAGAGCCTTAATTATTTGTCAAGCCACTTAAAAAGCAGTTTGATAAAAACAGAAGAGACTGTACCGAAGAGGCAACTTGCACCATAATCAGGGCACAAAGCTGTATTGGCTTTAGTGCTTAGGATGTCATTTAGGCCCTAGAAATACAGTGGCCAAAGGCTTATTACCTGTAACAGATGGAAAGAAGATTCCAACAAGCAAGGTAAAAGTGGTTGTAATGTCAGTCACAACATATTCATGAGAGACAGCGCCTGGTTCATCCTCCGACGTTAAAGAAACTTTCTCTATAATTTCTTCTTTCTGAAGGTAATTGCTCCAGATGTTCTCTGTGGAAGAGAATAGTGGAAATAAAAAAAATAAAAAAAGAACAATCAAACAAGATGCAGAGATAGAATGAAGAAGAGCAAATTGTGAAAGGCGAAGAAAAAAGAGGAATGTGACATTGTAAAACAAAGTAAAGAAATAATTTTCAGTAAAGACATGTACTCCATACCAGAGATGATTCCACTGCTCATGCCTGGGATCCCTTGGATTATGGTTACATTGTTGTGTATAAAGTACTCATCGCAAGTTGCATTCAACTGTCCAGGCGGTTGACAAAAGAGATCCCACAAGTCGGTGGTATAAGTTACGTTGTCCGTCTCCACTGTTTTGGCACACTGGCTAAAATGGAGACTAGACAGTGTGCGGTTGCCAAGCATGCATACTCTAAATGAAAAGAATAGAAGAAAAGAGGTTCAAGTATATTTGTAAATGTTTAACCATTTTGTGCTTCCCAATTTTTCCAGCAAATTAAAAGCCATAAATAATCAAAATTTTAATTATAAAAAAAAAAAAAAGTAACTTACAGAGGCTTCATTTAACACCACCTTTGTACAAAATTTTACAATTTGTAATGTGAACAATGAACATTTACCTTAATTTACAAAATAAAAACAGACACGAATATCAAATGAAATTATCAAACTTAAAATGAATTCCAAAGAGCCTTAAAATGCATATAAAAACATCCCAGGTGCCTGCTAGAAAAAAAGGCTAACTATGACAGAAGTACTGCACGTGCATGTGTGTCAGTAATGCTTAGAATGCATGGCAGAGCAGGTGCACTGTCAAGCTCAGTAAAGCACTGACGAGGAAGAGCCGGGAGGCCTGAATAAAAACATCATATGTGCTAGTCAGATTCTCAACACACACACACACACTCCATCGAGCATGTAAGCTAGTCTGGTTACAATTACGTGTTTGTTAGTCCACCTATTGTACAGCACTGCAAAGTTTGTTGGAATAATAATATATATAAATATATATATATATATATAAAAACAATCACACTCCTGGGACTTGGTTGAAGTAGTACAATTTAGCTTTTATTTATTCCATATAAAATATCAACATTTCAGCTCCAACATGGAGCTTTCATCAGGACAGGTAACATGTCAACCAAATCCCAGGAGTGCGATTGTTTCTACACCCATATATACTTTTGCCACAACCAGCACCGAGCACTACAAAAGTCTTCTTGGAGTGCAAGCTACTATGATGTATGCATGTATGAGATATATATATATATATATATCTATCACACACACACACACACACATTTATTTATTTAAAGCAGAGATTGTAGCCATATTAGACCAGTGATGTGGATGTATAAAATTTGTATCTTGTAATACCTCTTTTAAAGTCTAAAGCATTTCTGCGCAAGACGACAACTTTGAATTCTATGTGTCGTCTTGCTCAGAAGTGCTTAAGACTTGAGAAAGGGAGGTTCTCCTGAAAAGCTTGTTATTACAAAATTCTGTTAGTCCAATAAAAAAAAATAAAAAAAATGTATTACAAGATATATATCTGGGCCTGTGGGTGAAGCCTGGATTTGTGGGAGGGGTTAGTTTGCCTATAAATATACAGGCTTCCCCTTGCTCTGTGCTGTTGCTGCCTGGTTCAGATCTACTTCCAGTTCAAAAGGCCATCAACACAAAATGCCAAACTCCAAACAAGCTGGATTTGGCCTCATACGGCCTACGCAAGTATTCATTTTACCTCACTAACTACTAACACAAATTCAGCCGATTTCAATCATAGCCTCACAGAGCTGCCTAAATTCATCTCATATATTCTCCTTACTGCATTTGGCCCTCATTGGGCCGTATCGACTTATCATATGTATTTCAGTTAGTCACCCTGCTTTTTAATGTGTTCTTTATGGCTGCCCTCTTGGTATTCAGGCACGCATTCTCTGTACACAATACAACTTAAAAATGTATTCTCCTCTATAAAACGGGAATATCTTCTAAATGTCAAAAAAAACAAAAAACACACACCACTCATTGGGCAAAAATTGTTTAGTTATTATGTGGCTAGGTGTTGCAGGTGGCTGTCTAAATTTAGGTCAGTCCCAAACTTGGGCCTATACATGTGGTTGAGGAAAACAGAAATATGAACTTGTACACAATTTAAAAAAATCCTTATCCTTTTTAAAGGGGAATATCTTCTAAATATCTAAAAATCCTCTTACTAAAACAACCTCAAACTCATAAAAATTAGTAGTATACATTTCGTCACCCTACATTTTAATGTTTCTTTATGGTTGCCCTCTTGGTATTCCAGGACTCGTTGGGCATACATTGTTTAGTTATTATGTGGCTAGGTTTTGCTACTGACTGTCTAAATTTATGTCAGACCCAAACTTGGGCCTATACATCTGGTTAGCATTTATGGTACTGCCTGTTCATAAACTGTCTTATTTCACTGTCCGTCACTACTTACGTTGGTTTAGCCCTTTCTGTGCTCCACACGGGTCTAGTCAAGCATACATAAATATTATGTGGGTCATAATGACGTCAATCCCAAACATGGGCCTATACAAATTTATGTCAGGTCCAAATTTGGGCCTATACATGTTAGCCTTTATGGTACTGCCTTGATGATAATCGGTCTTATTTCACATTCCATCACCACTTACATTGTTGTAGCCATTTCTGGGCTCCGCACAGGCCTAGTGCATTGTACTTTACATTGTCGGGCATAATTATATCTGAACTACTGTGTGCACTTGCTCTAGTTCTTCTAGGTCATACGCTAATTTACAGTTTGTTTAATATTACTTTATTTATATAGTGCCAGCAAACATGGTGCAGGCATTTGATAACTGAATGTTTTCTTTGTTTGCTGGCCACATCCAGCCCACATTCAGCTGCTCATGCACATCGAATTTTACAAACTTTCATATATTCGCTTCACGTTCAACCACTCAGGATCCTTATGCGATGCAACCTCATCAGTATTTAAAAACAGTTTACATCTCTGCCACCTGCAGGCAGCATGTTTTCTCTTTTACACTAACTTGTTTCAATCATGTCGACCGCATTTTAACTGGCCCAGGTATTGTAATTACTTTTACTGTCAGATTCATACGATCCACATGCGTTCAGTTTCTCATGCAGTTATGTTCATCAAGCAATAAAGTTATAGCTTATGCTAATATTACTATGTTATTTTACGATTATTCTAGCATGTGCCGTTGCCTTTAACTTTATTCTTCTAGGCTAATTAGAAGTATTTATTATCCTTGTAAGAGTTCCATAAGTATGTTCTTTAACCGTATGTCTTATTTCTCATATGTACTCTTATGTCTGGTATAAGGCCATCATGTCACTAAACCTTTTTATCCACTGTTGCATTCTAGAGGGCCACAGTTCCCGTTAAGACTTTATCTGCAGACACCATGATTATTTGGATCAGTGAGTAAGTGTATAGGAGTTTACGTACGGTCTCTTTTCTGTTCAACATTTCATACACTTGATGTTTTAGTAACTCTACAGTCTCATCAACATGTCTCAGTCCTATACAAATGTTCCACAACTACACAACCCTTTTCTGTTTTGCATCCTAACGATCACCTGCATTAATCCCAACACAGATCACGCAGCCACTCTAATGCTACACCCAATTGGTCGTCACCACCACCGCCGGTTTATACGCATATTTCCTACACGTAGTCCTCACTAAGAATTATCGTGTTTGTTCATATGTCTGGCAGTGGGCAACCATCCTCGTCCTATTCCGGCAACTCCTTTGCGTATTTTCGATTACATCTGTTTTCCCGGGGTTGCATACCACCCCATTACGCTACATGTTATCAAGAACACACCTATCCTCATTAGGCATTGTCCTTGAGTAACTGTAATTCCATCATCAACTACCATTATCTTTACCTCACTAAGCACTTTGGTCCACATGCATCTATTTGGGTGGTTTCATGATCTCCTTCATAGGTCTCAGATTGAAACTGTGCACATAGCTAAAGTAAATATGATTATACTGATCTTGTTTCAGGTGCTTAGCCTTCACACGTGGCCTTACTAGGCCTTCATTACATTCCCATCATATAGCACTCTGTGAGCAGCATTATGACATACCCACCCCTATTTTGGATCCGTATAAGTACCTTCCTGCTGCATGGGGTGTGTGTGTGTGTGTGTGTGTATATATATATATATATATACATACATACATACATACATACACACACACACACACACACACACACTTTTCCTTCTAACATTTCATTACATCACTTCGTTTCGCTAGGCCTAAACGGCCCTCTCTCGGCCTGCGACACTCACTAGTAAATTAATCCCTTATTCTAAGCACTGTGTCACTATTTTTCTTAACATACCTTGGTTTATCCTTAAATTGTTCACTCCATACATCCGTTACCCATTTTCAGCATTATTTCTACTCTCTCCTTCCTGCAGCTCATGACTTACTTTGGGCATTCTCTGCCTTCCGCTACGGTACCTCTACATAAAGCCACCACTAACCCTTCACTCCATAAGTTACACAAGGCCCTCTAGGGCAACTGCTACGACTGTTACGGCACATCAATAGGGCATTTAAATAAGTTTACAGTTTTACAATTTGAAAAAATAAAATAAAAATACAAATCTTCCATTCTACGTTTCAATATCACACACTGCCTCGGTAGGCCCATGTACATTTTTCCCATACAGCCCTCTCTCAGAACACTCCCAAGAACCTTGGTCCTCTCGTAGCAGTTAACATATCCTGGCCTCTTTGATCGGTCACTAATTTAACTGTATTAGTATTATCCTCACCTATTTCAGGCTCTTACTTCTTTCGCTTCATGCCAGTACGATAGGCAGGTGATTTTTATGTGAATCAGTTAATGATCGAGTTACATGCATATCCTTACGTAAAGTCTCTCCATGTCTACTACTTATCAGTCATTGCATATTGTGAAATATGGTCAACTGGGTCTTTATTTTACTGTTCAATTTCCTTCAGTTAGGTCGAAAACTGTTGTCAGAGTAATTTGGTGTTCTGGGCTCATAGTACTTACTTTATCTACTTTTCTGGCACAGACTGTTGCTAAACAATTGTTCCATGTTAGTAACATAGTTCTGAAATGTGAACACCAAGTTCTCTGGGGTAACTCTCGGGTTTTGGTTAAGTTAATCATTCTACAAGTATTTCTTGTCCCTTTATTACACATTCATTTATCATCCAGGTATATGTCTAATTAGAAAATAATTCATGAGTGACATGACTATTTCACATTTTCTATCACCACGCAAGTGATTTGCTTTTATGATAACTCCCTACGTACAAAAACTGTGGCCATAGGTAGTTTTCGGCCTCTTGTGCCATGACATAGCTGTCCCGCGAGGCCAACTCAGCAAGGATATTTCGCCCCTCGGGCCAAATCATAGTTACTGCCTTGCATCTTCGCCCTCTTGGCAAAGCAGTTAGGGCCTCATCAGTCATGGTCAACTTATCATATATATCGCTTTAGCTCTCACTGAGAGGCCAACACCCCACCACAACGCTCAGTAGCAAACCTGCCCCACGGGCCAAATCATGGGTCACAAGTCACCAATTTAGCTTAATCGTTTTACCATTTGGCTTAACAAAGGTCAGCCAGTACCTGGTTGTTATACAGTATCTCCCATTAACAAATTGTAAAATTTTCAGGTATGGTTATAATTTTAATAAATATTTAAGTATTGGTTATGTAATGTCAACATGTATTAAGTGATAAACTATTAAACTTTTGCCCTCTTTTTACTGGCCTACCCGAATGTCGGTTCCCGCACACCACAACCGACTTATGCCACCACTACTATAACTCGACTTTTTGTCCCCGACCACAAATATATGTATGTAGCTATATTTAAAATATTGAGCCAGATATTTATATTTTTCCCAGAAGACATTGGCATGAAAACAGAATTTTGTTCCCAATATTTACACATTACCAAGTCACCTCGCTACTGCTTTGTTTCAATTTCTGACATTTTAAATCAAAGTGTGCCCCTAAAAGTTTGAGATGTACAATCGAAACATTTGTAATATTTGTAAGGAAATAAGTGAAATAATAAATAAGATGACATTCTATTTTTTGTTGCTTTTACTTTTATGAAATCCTTGTAAGTGGGATGATAGTTCATCTTCATAACGTAAAGTTTTAAATGTACACTCTCATTATAACTATATACACAATGGAGTATTGGATTTTTTCCCCTGGTTCGACTGTGTTGTAGACTTCCAGTGGCTCCACTGCCTCAATCTTGCCCACTGCTCCCATAAGTTCTAAGCTGTCCGTCTAATTAGACACTTCCCAGCCAAATGCAGCCAACTGGTAGCTGCAGAGAAAGTGTAAGAGGGAATTGCTAAACCTTAAGCAACATTTAGCGTGCACACACTGCTGCACTAGGAGCTTCAACAGGGGCAAGTCTATTTCTACTCCACTCCAAATAAATCCAGTTATTTGTTTTTAATTAAATTAACGGTCATGTAGAAAAAGCACTAACCAACAAAGCCTCAGTTTGCTTATGTTATGCATAACATAAAAAGAAACTGAAAAACTGACAAAGGTTCAAGCATTAAGTCAGCGCAACCAGCTTTTTGTCTCTATTGCAGGGACATTTTAACATAAGGACGGCAGCAGCAGCAGCTGTTACTGCCCCATACCATTAACTTATACAAAACAGGAAAGCTGTTCAATACTAATTAGTTTAAACTCTGAACAAAGGACACTTTTTAAGTCCTTTTTCTGTTGATCTGTCGGTTTGTTGCCCCATGTTGTGAACCTCATCCATGCAGTATATTGCACAAGGAATGTAAGTGATCAGAGTGTGGAGCTTATAAGTCTCACTCCCATAACCTCTGACTACCATTCATAGGGTTAAATTGCAGGCTTATTGGAGTCCGGCACTCGTGGGGTTATGTCGTCCTGTACATTCAGCACTTCTGTGGCTAAAACCCTCACTTCCTGTAGTTTTGACATTTACAGATTTTTTCCTCCAGCTCCAATGTGCGCAGAACTTGCAGGGTTAAATCCAACGGACTACCAGACGATCACAATAATATAGGCAAATTGGATTTAAAAAAAAAAAAAAAAAAAAAAAACACATTTGACTTTTTCAATTATACCTATGTATATACATATTTTCTCATACTCAAATTCATCTTCACACCTATATACAGTTGCTTCGCATACACACATTCATATGTTGCTAAAACCATACAAGTGTCTGCACACAGTTATATTCGAATGTATATGAATAGTTGAATATTTTCTGTGAAATGTCAAAGTTATATGACAATATAAGTCGATAAATATTGCATTCTCAAGCTCAACAGAAGCAAAGCAACTCAGTAAACAAAATAAATCTTATCACACCAAATTATCAGCAAAAAAATAAGTAACGAAAACTGGACTCTTAACATGTCTGAACACTAAATAAACTTCTAAGTTGTCAAAGTAGCCAGCATGAATCCAGCCCAGCATATGTGTAGACTGTAGTGAAAACATTCTGCAAAGTGCTGCTTGTGAGACAAGTTGCTAAATCAAAGTAGGTGGCAAGCTACTAGAGACTGCTTGTGACAGCAGTCAATGGCTTTGCCACTATACTCTGCAGGAAGCCAGTTCCCTAGGCACTCACACATTTCCAGACTAGTGATTATACAAGAATTACACAGGCCAACAGAAAAGCAAGCATTAATCTTACATACAGAAATGCTATGTCGCCTCTGACATCCAGTACAGATTATGTCTGCTATGTTCACCTACACATACAGTGTGCGAGATAGACAGACACTGGTTCTTGTGGGATCTGTAAGAAGCCAAGGAATGGAGAACAACATACACACAAATAAAATTATCTGTAGGTAAGATCTACTAAGAGTGAAAAACTACAAAATGCAAAAACAAAGGCTGAGTTGGAATGGGAAAAGAAAAAAGGGAAAGATGATACGCCATTTCATCCAAAATTAACAGATGTGGTTCTCGTAAAATTCCGCAATGATTCAATGCAAAGCATACAAATTATGACAGAACAAAAAAGCATCAAGACTCCACCACAAGCATGGAAATTTTAATTTGAGATTTATGAGAAACTTAACTGATTGGTTATCAAAAATAAAATCAAAATGATAGACATTATAAGTGCTCCCAGAACACGGTTTGACAATTTACATTAGAATAGAGCACTCCTGGCACCATAACCAGCATATCAGGCTATATGAAAATAGAGCCTCTTGGTAATCGTAGGAAAGACCAGGGCTTGCTGACAGGGGTCAGCCATTTCATGTTTGGATCAGAAAACAAGTAGCAAAAAGGAGGCAAGCATTCTATATATTAAATAAAAATAAGTTAAAAAAATATGTCCAATCAAACTAAGACAGCAACAATAAGTGCTGTGCTAAGCTGCACCCCACTGTAGTTGTCGTCCAAATTTGGCAAAATAAAGATTGGTTGCAGCAGAGGGCTGTAAGAGCCCAATCATTTGTTCAATTGCTCCAAACTGGAATAAATAAATAAAATGGAAGAATGGCAGACAAAGACTCATTGCACCATAATCACTATAACACATTGTATAGGAGCATTGTACTGGAAATACTGTTTAGAATATCACTTTAAACAAACAAACAAACAAAAGTAGAGCTTAACAAATGCGTGGCATCAGATGTGATTTCTGTGCAGCCATGGCAGAGAATTTTACCTTCTACCCCTTTTGATCTGACTGGCCCCTAAAGGATCCAAGAAAGCCCCTGTGTGCTCCAGTAGAACAGATTGCTTCACTGAATCATTGTACTAATACATCTTGCTGTGATATAACATCAGATCCTCCAGATAAATCAGGATGCCGCACTGTAGTGCAACAGTAACTGTGCAGTTAACTCTGATGCCAAAAATATGCAGATCTCCAAACCCAAACAAATCCCAAATGGAGGAGAGCAGTAGGGACGAAAAGGAAGAGTAATTCAATTGTCTGTGTTTATTATCTTAGTGTGAGTCTAAGTATGCATGTATGTAAATATAGGAGAATGTTATCTTGGTCTTCCTAATTAGGTTTTGTTTGTCCGTAGAAAGTTATGTATGTACAGTTACTTTTGTATGTGCATGTCAGTAAACGAGAACATCATGTCGTGAATGTCGTTAATTAGGCATGTGTGCGAGAGAGTTGCTAAGGTGTGTGAAATAATTCAATGTGTGAGCGGAATGTTAAATTTGAATTTTACCTGCCTCCTAACTTTTGGCCTTGGCTTCTAGATACAAAGGATATTTCAAGCTACAAAGTAATGTATACTGAGAAGTTTAGTTATAAAATTGACGTGCAATTTTTTTTCCCCCTTTTCCATTTACTAAGAAAGTAAATTTTAACAAAATCATTGATACAGATTAAAAATTGTCAAGATACAATTTCCACTTTTCATGTTATGAGACTAAAACAAAAAATCTATTATTTGCAGCACACAAAGCTAACCCATAACACAACATACATAATGATTACAGTAAACACGTTATCCTCTACCATGGCCAGCCCACTGGCTAGAATGTGTACCAACTCACGGAAATTCAGGTGGAGCGAAGGCAGATTTTAGAGCCCCTGTGTAGATGGCTAAAATAGACAGTATGACACAGGTCAGGAATAGAGAAGCCAGCTTGTTCACGTAGCGTACACCAACAAATACGATGAATGACATGATGAGAAGGAATCCAGACCCATATACTCGCATGTTGTTTAACATAGCTGCAGATTCCTCTGCTGCTCCCTGACCTTGGAATATTACTGCATCGGGTGCAATATAAACCTAGGCAAAAGACATGTGAAGGTCAGTGTTACAATATTGTAATAACAAAATCATAAGCAGTATCATACGCCAAGACAAATCTTATTAGAAAGAAAGTATTACTAATGGTGCCTTCTGTTTATAGAAAACTCAAATTTTCTACCTGCCTGCCAATTTATAGCACAAGTCTGTTTATGTGATAAAGTAAAATCACTACCAGCAAGTTGTCTATTTATGGTAAAAACACCTTTAGGGGTTTATCACAGAGGTAGTCTATTGTTTGAAACCAAGCAGTAAAATAAAACTAGTATGTGTATTGCACAATGAAAAAGATAATTGCTATAAACATAAGTATTCAGAAAAAAACACACCGACAAGAATGTGTAACTGACTACAAGGATTTAAAGGGCAACTGTCACGTTAAACAGTTTTAGGTTTGTTTTTTGTTTTTTAACAAGTAGTTTATTTTCCCTTCCTTGTACTAATCCTGCTACAATCAACGCTGACTTCTGGAGTATACAAAGCATGTGTAATTAGACAATCAACTTGAGAACTTCAAGTGAGAGGATATACTGAGGGACAAATATTTGCCACAGCGGGGCGTAACTGTCCCAAAATGAAACGGCCTTCAGATGTGTCCAACTTCAGATCGATCTCTGAATAATCTCAAAGTGCTTATATCACGTTTCCTCCTCTTCTGACTATGCAGATAGTTGAGTTAGCACTGGTAACAGTGATTGGAGTCTTCACTCTCTGCGTTATGTGATTTTGACTGAATTCACGCCGAAACCACAGAGTACACCATATTAAAAACAAGTAGGAATCCAAGTATAGACACCTGGAGCGTGTCAAAAGCTAGTGTCCTGACCAGGTTATTATGATCTGTTCACTGATAGATTTTACGATAACACATAGGGAAAGATAAGAATTAAACAACCTGTACTGGATTAGAAGATTAGACAAGTATAGATAAATAAATAAATAAAAAAGTATCCTACATTATATTTTAAAATGGCTATTTACAGAGCGTGGTCGAAATTTGCCGATCTAGACATTACAGGTTAGTCTATTCTTAAAGTGTCTAAAAATTCAAACCATATTGGTTAAAAAAGTTCACAGGTAATCTCACACTAGATATAATAATGTTAAGTATATAGATACATATTTACAATGCTAATGTAAAAATGAGAAAGCTTATTTTGCTTAAAGCAGAGATCAAAGAGTACTGCCTAAATATATATATTAATGGAAAACCAAAATTGTAGGATCGCTTAGAGATGTTATATTGTGAGATAAAGGAAGAGTAAGATAATTCTTCATTTAACCCCTGTTGTGGCAGGGTCTTTAACTGAAACCCAGAAGCCTTCTCTGCTCTTGAGTTTTTTTCTTGTCCAGATTTGCTACGCTGACATACTATACATACATTGTTACTTCATTGCTTTGACTTGAGACAGCTTTGTGTTTACGGATTAGGCACACTGCACAGATAATATTAATTGTATATTTACTTCATACAAAGATATGGATATTAGCAGGCTAGATTATTCTTCGGTTTAGTCTATTATTTGAGTTTTATAATTAAACGCATGCATGTTTTTATTGGGGGTAGATCATGTGATTTATTGGGGCAGCAGAGTGCCCCTTTAACTTTAACCAGGGAAACCAGCACAGCATTGGTTACTCTAACCAAACCCGGTGTTTTTTGTTTTGTTTTTTTTTGTTTGTTTTTTTTAAAAAACACTTTTTTTGTTTGAGTAAACCTTTCACGTGTACCTGCCATGGTAAACAAGTTAGATTAATTCTAAAGAGCATTAAAGTCTACCTAAACATTGTGCAAGCACATGTAGAAATTTTCATTTGAAGATCTTTAACCAGTTGGGCTATTTCTCCACTGCAAATCAATCTACTTTAGATCTATATGCCAGTACTAAAGGTCTAATGCTAATAATTATGTAACATGGAGAACAAGAACCCTCCCCAGGCACTTTTCTTCCTCCATGTTAGTGTTAAACCTTCAGCTGACAATTCTCATACAGATGTATAGAAAGCATTGACACCAATCAAGTAGTCAGTGTCAGTTGTGACGATTAGCATGACAGGTTCACTATAATATATTTTTCTGTGTAAATGGATGTACAAGCAGTGCTTTAGATCACATCTACCAGGGATTGTTTTGAATGTTCACATATTTCTCTTAATAAAATATAAAAAAAAATTTAACAATCTCTTACCAGGAATATTTCAATTGCCCCAAGGATGTACATCGCAGTAGCAAACGTTGTTCCCAGATAAAAACATAGACCAACAGCTCCTCCAAATTCTGGGCCAAGAGCCCGTGATATCATAAAATATGAACCACCAGCTATTAAAAAAAAATAATAAAATAAAGGGGGGGTGGGGGTGGAGGGAGGAGTTTGTAAAAAAAATAATGTACAACAGATCATTAAGTTCATATCACTGTGCGTTTCACTCTAATCTTACTGGTAATAAGACATCCCTGTCTATTGGGTCTGCTAACTGGTGTAATCGTACTATCTTACTTTTGCATGATCATCCAGAGAACCAGTTCAGTTTAAAAATTAGACAACTTATACGGGTTTATTGTACAGGTTATTCTTTTATACGTGAATTATATGGAATTCAAATTGAATTTAAAATTTTAGATCAAAATAGCAAAGCTAGCATAATTCACCAATTCAGTGGAGCTATTTTGGCCTAAAATTTTAAAATTAATTTTGAATTCTAAACAAACCATACTGCTACAGATTTTGGAATCATTTTTTGTACAAGTTCCACTCCAGCGGGGTAATTGACTTAACTCAGAACCATAGCGAAAAGGAAATCCAAATGACTACATTTAGTCAAGAAATTTACATGTTTTGCCATTTACATTTTTTGCTATAATTTAAAGTTGAGCAAATTCTAAAATTCTAACCGTTGTGCACATGTATTAAGTTTAGTACAAAATTTCATAAAATTCTAGTGTTTTTAGTACATGTATAGCAGCTCCTTAGGACACACTGTAAAATACAAACAATGCATATTATCTGTAACTAACAAGGTAGCACAGAACAGACTAGTTCATTCTCACCTGGTACTACTCCATTTGTTGCAATTGCACTCATAGAAATGGCTGTAAGCATTGTCTGAAATAACCACAAAGATTAGTATTAGAGAGTGTATCTGAGTGCCATTAACTCTACCAAGCAAGGTAGACACCCAAAATAATACTCTAATACTCACACAGCAGCAGCAGGAAAACACAATGCAAAAGGAATGCAGAACTCCAGCAGTCCCCACGACCCAGGGAAGACGGAGAAACAAGATCACACCAAAAATGTTTTGCAGGCAAGGAAGGTACACTCCCATAATAGTGCCCATTCGAGTGGACTAGAAGAGATAGTGATAAGAAAAAGGAAAGATAATAAAATTATCTAAAGGAGAACCGCAAAAAAGGAAAACTCATTGTGAGGATGAAAAATAAAAGATACATTTGGGCAAAGTGTGGAGGAAAGGCAAAAAGTAAACAATAAAAAGAAGGTTGTGTTTTTCTTAAACATGTATTCCTAACTCTGTAGTGTCATGAACACAGTCACTAGAGGTGTGTTTAACCCTACAATGGAAAGATTGCAGTTATTACAAAACTGCAATGTTTTACATTGAAAGGTTAAAACTAAAGTGCACCTGACCGAAAACCGCTTGATTGAAATTAAGTAGTCAGGGTGCCTTTAGTTATTCTTTAACATTAATTTTGCGACTACAGAAAACTAACCCAGAATTATTAATGAAAAACAAAGCCAAAAACCTTATTACATTCTACATTATATTGAAATTATTTAGCTACTCACTTTAGAATGCTTCTTTTTGCCCTCACTCTCCTCCTCATGCTCTTTAGCACCCTGCGGGAGGTTGGTGTAATTGGCCAAACGATTCAACAAAGAAGACACCTTGGGACGAGTGTCCATTTCTTCCTGCAGACAAAATAGAGGTATAAGGAAAGGAAAACCAGTCTCACAAAAGAAAAAGGAAGATTAGAAAAAAAAAAAAACAAGTTAGAAGGTTGAGAGAGCAGTAAACATTTTTTTAAAAATACATGAAAAATTCAATGAGTTTAAAATGATACACGTGTTCCACCCCTCACCTCAAACAGAGCAAGATTACGGTCATAAGATTCTTCATCCTTTTCATTGTGGTTCTGGTACAAAGATGAATTCTTCCTGCGGTCAATCTCTATAAGAGACAGGTTTACATTAGTAGTCTGTCACACACTTCACAGAGTGTATTAGAGCCCTGATCCAACACCGTGCTTTACCTAGCAGTTTGCTGTTCTCTTCCGTTACCGATGTCTGGCTCCGATCTGTAGAGCAAAAACATGAAAGAAAATTAACAGAATGTTCTCACCATTATATTATTTACCCATGTATAGGCTTTGATCTACAGCTAAAAATATATTTTATTAACATTATTAAAGTGGCAACATATTCTGCAGTCTTAAACAATGCATATATAGACAAATCAAACAATCTGACCAGACAAGAGGCAAGGAGATTCCAGTTCAGAGAAGTAACTATTTGCTTCCTTTTCACACTCTTCAAGGGTATTGGGTACCAATAACATTACTACCATTTATCTCATGGTGAGTGATTATGTACAATTAGTAAAGTTTATATTCTGTTCTACAAGTATTTGGTAATATATAATAGTCATAGAGATTTAAGAAAAAGAAAAGCAATAAATTAACCTTGGGAACCATTTCTTACAGTGTAAAATTGTGTATTTATGTACAATTTGACAAGAAAAAGGACTTTATGTAATAGCTCAAATAGTATAATAAATTGTATGGGGGGGGAGATAAAACTTATTAACTTATTGATCAAAAGCTAAAAAAAATTCATTTTTCAATAAAACAAATGCTAAAAGGTCTTACTAACAAAACTAGATTCCTTAAATATGTTTATTAAATATGTATATGATGTATCAGCAAAGGAGACACGGCAAGGTCCTTTAAATAAATTAGGTACTTCATAAAGCTGAAACTGGAAAGCATTTTAAGAGTGTGATTTCAAGCTGGAGAGTGAAAATCTGAGGAGTAATGAAAAAATAAAACATTACAAAAAAGGTAGCAGATAACTGGAACTACTTTCTAGAAACAGTAGTAAAGGTACAATTAGATCATCTGATTGCAAGAATGTGGACAAGCATATTCTGTAGAAAAATCAAGTATGAGATGTCAAGACAGCTAGACTAAAGTGGCAAATTGGTCCTTATCTGTGGTTAATCTATTTATGTAGCAGTTATCCTATAGTTTGACATGAGCTATAACAAATCTCAGACCTACACTGCATAGCTCTTGCAAGTAGGATACTTCTGTTTCAATGAGTCTAAACTTGTTAAATCACTAGTTAATTGGATGTTGTGACCGTCTGGCTAGTTTACTGAACTGCAGTTTGTAGTTCATAGATAAACAAGGCAGGCCCAGTATTAGGCTAACCAGTTGTGATGTGGGACACTTTCTGAAAAATCAATAGAACTATTCTACTGAAAAGAAAGTTTATTATTAAAGCAGGACTTGCCAAACCACAAAGTACAGTGAACCATTGCTCCACAGACATTAACTGTAAGAGTATAGATTTCTTGAAAGCTTTATTTAGAAGTCTCTGGGGAAAAAAAAAAAAAACCACACACTTTTTCCCTGTCTCCTAAGAAAATCCATTTTCTTCTTTTGGGTTCCTACATATCACACAGACTTGTACTACAGTGATAGCCAAGTTGCATCACTGAATTACCTTTCCCAGAATACTTGGCCAGCCTGCACAAACACGGCAAAGCTTTTACTTTAAATGAACAAATTTTGCAACACTGTAAATCACATAATAGGTCACTATTATTAGTCATAGTCTAGCAGCTATAAAGTTCTAGTGCACCGCCTCTTCACTCCTAAGGGTGGTGCCCTGAGAGGCCTCATCTCCAAAAGACAGCCATGAAATCAATTACAAGAAAGAAGTTTTCAATTATACTCATGTTCTTTTCTGCTACACCCTGTACTGATTAGGATAAGACAGTAAAGTGAAGCGTATTAAACAGACAGAGCCAATCTGAGATTTCATAAGAACTCACCGGTGCCCCATGTATCTTCTGATTCAGACCATCCTGTAGGACTGGAGCTGGCCCCCTCTGTAGCATACTCAGAGTCTGGCACTTTAGTTACAGTGAAATGTGGCATGGTTAACCCTACCTTCTATGCCACTCTCCTACTGTCTACTTTACTGCTCACCCACAAAGCCCACACATTCACCCCCAACCTTGTTACAGTTGCCTGCCTGAACTCCCTCTCCCTCACTATACTCAAACATCCAAAACGAAGTTTACCTTTTACCCACTCCACCTCCCTCCCAATCTGTAATGATTTAACCAGCAACTCCTCTCTAAACTGCATCCACTTTTCTGACTTCCCCACTCCTAAAAGCTTTTTTAGCACCTAGCTTATTCACTTAAAATCTCTTCCCACACCCTCTCCCTCAACTATTCCCTCTCAGCTGCTCTCTGTCCTATTTTGGTCACTTTTGTGCTTTGTTGTCCCCTCCTGTGCGATATCTCCCTTCCTCTCCTGGGACAAATACACCAACACTGCTTCCCCGTCACGTGTCTTTTTCCCATCAAAGTGGGTGGTGCATGGACTTAAAGGTGCAGCTACAAAAAGCGCCATCTAGTGCAAGCAGTGATGTAGTGCACTATTCTCTGTACTTGTGGATGGTGTTTGTTCATTCTCTGTAATTGCCTATCAATGCTCAGTTCTACAGGTGCCAAATGCTAATTTCGGTAGACAGGGCCGCTCAAGAGACACTGAGCGTCTGTTATTATGCCATAAAACTATAATTATACCATAAAATGCGACAGTGAGGCACCAATCCTGGGGTCAGCTAATGCACACAATGTAAGGGAGGACAGGCTCAGACTAGGCTATATGTGTAATGCAGTATGACCTTTGCATTACATTATCAGAGAGAGAGGTTCCCTTATACAATGTTTGGTTGATAGGTAATGTACTGTGACCTCTTATTTGCAGATTAATAGGACTAGCTATGCAGTGCTGGGCTCCTATCTAATATACTGTGACTTTCTGATCATGAGAAGCTCATAGGTTCATTTCGAATGCAATGTGACCTTCTAACTATAGACTAACAAGACAGGCTCAGACTAATTTTCTGAGTTGAAGGGATAATAAATGAATGCTTAAGCACCAAAACAGCTTTAGATTAATTAAGTGGTTTTGGTGTACATTTCATGCATTACAGTCTCACTCTCAGTTCTCAGCCATTTAGCAGTTAAACACCCCCTGGACCACCTGTGGAAACTTGGAACTAGCCCTTTTTAATGGAAATAGAGTAAGGGGTTGATAGGCTGATATATTCTGTTGGCATATTAATCGCTTTTAAACAGTTTTAATTTTATGGTCCCTAAGGAAGTTCCCACACTGAACTTAACGCAAAGGACCCGAGTCCATTCATAGATTTTATTTGTTTATTGTCTGATTATTTGGTAAGAAATCTACTCATACCACCTGCCTGGATCCTGTTTCCTGTTCGGGGAAAGGAGAAAATACAGGAGGTATGGATCCCTAACTAATAACAGGGAAGGCGTATATCTTTCTTTGATGTCTGTAAGTGCAATCTTTACAGGAATCTATTAGTACACCATAATACAGTGTGCTGTTTATTTAAAATATTTTATGTATACAACTGTACCTCATTTGTTCTGATATATTCATCATTGTTAACTACCAAAGATTAATTGACATCCTAGACATTCTGTATGAATCATTTAACATTTAGGGCTGCAACTGAATCTATTTTGATTTACTTTTCATTAGTTACAAAGTGGAAAAATTACTACAAGCAAAACTGTAAACAATTGTGGTATTTGTTTTCCTAATTTTTAATATTTTACTCATACTTAAAGTTGTTTAAGGTATAAAAAGGAACCCTATATACACCTAAAGCATTTTAGCATGTGTGAAGTATGTCCTCTTTTTTCATTATTTAAAAGTGCAGATTACAATAGAAATTGCCACTTTTAAAATGAACCTTGTTGGCTGTCCATCAGAAAACCAGCCTTGTTACTTCCTAAGAGGCAGTAATTGTCCAGAGCACCAGCCTTAGAAGGACTTCTCATTGAGCTGCAGACAAGAGATATGCAGCTTTTACAAACTGTTTTCCATGTACCACAAGTGAAAAAATGCATAATTAAAAGCATATATTTTTTTTCACTCTTTTTTACCTATTTATTTCTTGTCCATATCTACTTCCTAGGAGCCGCCATCTTAGTGTTGGCAGATGAAGGCCCTGTGGGACAGATCATCTGCCCACACTAGACAGTGCTGTGAAATTCCTGCGCATGCCCAGTTACAGACTTGGGTATTCGCTATTGTACGAAGATCGAATGGGAATTTCGGCAATTCGTTCATACATTAGAAATGTAAATGAACGAATAGAAATTACAAAAAACAAAGACCGAATTGTAATTCGCTATGCTACCGGCTCATAGCTCCTTCATTGTAATATGTAAAAATAGAAGCAGCAGGGAGCTGTGCCCCTTGCCACCTCCTAAACTCCCCGTTAAGCCAACCAATCAGAGCGCTCTGAGTCAAATTGTTCGACGTGGGAAGACTTTATAAGTCTTTCCACGCCCTGAAAAGCATACTATGTGTGCAGGGCCGGACTGGGAAGAAAATTCGGCCCAGGCATTTTTTTAATTACAGCGGCCCTTTAAAAAAGGAGGCGGGGCCAGATAGGGTGTGTTTTGTCATCACCAATGACGAGCACGCCCCATTACAAAGTGAGCATGTTAGTTCAATGCTCTTCCAGGGCAGACCATGCGCAGAGCCCCTGTATTTGTTCTGCACAGCGCAAGCAAACTTAATATACTTGCACTGTGTTTGCTTGAAATTTCTCTCCATAGATGGGATACCAGGAGACAAAAATGCCAGGAAAGAGTATTATGCTGTGTGTGAGTGATGGGTGCTATGTGTTTTTTTTTTTTTACAATTGGGTCTTTATTATTTTATTTGTTAGGGCCCCCACCCGTCGGCAATAGGTGGGGCCTGGGGAGAGTGGCAATAGGTTCACCCCCTTTATTACGAAGGGCCCCCACCTGCCAGCAATAGCTGTCAGTATAAACACCACTAGAGGTATATTTAACCATGCAATGTAAAAGTTGCAGTTTTGGTGAATATAATCTCCCTCTAAGAGTTTAAGGTGTCCTCCTGGATGCAAATTAGTACAGCCAATGCTGTATTCCTATATAACATGAAGTGTTCTGTTGATTTGTTTATTAGGACATGTTCAGGCAACCTAGGATTTGTTTGTAAATACATAGGATTATTCTCTAAAATCCAAATCTCAGAGAGTTCAATGTAAAAGGCATAACTGAGGCTAGCATACCTAATTTGGAAAAATTCCCTGTCTCAAATAAGGATAAAATCCTCTCTTGAAGGAACATTACAATCACCATCACCACTACATTAATGTTTATGGTGCCAGAAGTGCCCTGCTGCCCCAACATTGCAAGCAGTCAAACCATTTTTTGTGAAAACGCTGTCGATAGACGTGAAACGCGTATAGGGCCCTCTTAGGTGTTTCACCTATCTTTATTATATTATTTTTACCCCCTTCCTGCAGGCACAGGGTTCTATTTTTTGGACTGGTGATTATTTTTCTGTGGTATGTTTACGACTTGCTCTGTATTTTGGATACCCTGTTATTTGCAGGGCCCTCAATCCCTCTGTTCCTGTGTGTCCACCTCACCTGGTTACAAATACGTGTCTGTTAGTCCACCCATTGTACAGCGCTACAGAATTTGTTGACGCTTTATAAATAATAATAATAATAATTTAAGAGATTTGCCTGCTATTTTGATGTCATGTTATACTTTTGTAGATAATTAACCATTTATGATTTGCCCTATGGATATTACATGGATGTGAGTGCAGACCTTCTGGAGTGATGTGGTGATACAATTAGATTTATTCTTATCTGGATTGCTTATTCTTCAAGACACGTTCCAGTCAAACTTTCTGAATATAGCTTATGAGGACATGCTGAGGCACTGCTGGGTTTCTATCTAATGGAATATGTCCTCACGGCTCCAGCTTATTAGGACGTGCTGAGAAAACGCTGGGTTTGTATTCAACCAACCGTCCTATCAGCAACCTGCAGGGGGCGCAAGATTCGAGTGACCCGGCAGGAGGGAAACGCACAGTGCTCCCTCCTGCTAGTCACTCAGTGTAGCGTGGCCGGGCGGTGCGGACAGCGGTACAGGAGCTTCTGTTTCCGGTACCTAGCCGGACTGAATGGAAGTGCTCTCAGTGAGCACTTCCTGTCAGTGCGACCAGGTACAGGAAACAGAAGCTCCTGTACAGCGGTCCGCGCAGCCTGGCCACGCTACAAAGAGGTAGGAGGCACAACAGGGAAGGGAGACGGCACTAAGGGACATGGGGGGAGGGGAGGGGAAAGGCCACTAAAGGACAGATGGGAGAGGGAATGGGGTGAAAGAGAAGCACAGAAGAGCTGGTAGGGGAGAAAGAGACACACAGAGTGGCTCAGGAGAGAGACACATAAAGTCGCTTGTGAAGGAGACACACAGAGAGGCCTGGGGGGAAAAGAGACACACCAAGGAGCTGGGAAGAGTAAGACACAAAAAGGCTTGAGGGAGTAAGACAAGTAAAGAGGTTGAGAGAATATAGGAGACATAGAAAGAGGTAGGGGGGATAAGAGACACACAAGGGGCTTGTAAGAGATACACTAAAGGGGGGTGTATGACACAAAACTTAAAGAAAAAAATATTCAAAAAAATTATATTAACTAAAATAAATATAATAATAAAAATAAAGCGCTGCTCCCCTCTCAGCCCCTATCCTAGCCCCCCAAATCCTCTCATTCACACTACACACATACACAGAAACACACAATGCATCCCTACACACACACACACATCCCTACTCACACACAAACAGAAACATACAATGCATCCTACACTCACACAAATACATCAATGCATCCCTTACACACACACAGTGTGCATTCCTCACAAATACACACACAATGCATCCCTTGCACACATAAACAGAAGCACACAATGCATCCCTTACACACACACACACACACACACTGCTTCTCTTAATGCATATCTTACAGACACACACACACACTGCATTACATAAACAGATTCACACAATGCATTCCTTACACACGCACTACATCCCTTACACAAACTGGCATCCCTATACACTACATTCCATAAGAACACACATTAAAGGACCACTATAGGCACTCAGACCACTTCAGCTTAATGAAGTGGTCTGGGTGCCTGGTCCATCTAGGGTTAACCATTTTTCTATAAACATAGCAGTTTCAGAGAAACTGCTATGTTTATGTTAGGGTTAATCCAGCCTCTAGTGGCTGTCTCATTGACAGCCGCTAGAGGGCTTCCGTGTTTCTAACTGTGAAAATCACAGTGAGAAGACGCCAGCGTGCTTTCCTATGGACTGGCTGAATGCGCGCGGCTCCTGCCGCGCATGCGCATTCAGCCGAAGAGGAGGAGAAGAGGGAGGAGGAGGAGAGCTCCCCGCCCGGCACTGGAAAAAGTTTAACCCCTTCCTCCCCCAGAGCCCGGCAGGAGGGAGACCCTGAGGGTGGGGGCACCCTCAGGGCACTATAGTGCCAGGAAAACGAGTATGTTTTCCTGGCACTATAGTGGTCCTTTAAACATCCCCTACACACACACACTCCACTCCCTGTGAGTGAACTCATGGGTGGGCCTTGTAGGCATAACGCTCAAGGGTGGGCCTTTTAGGCATACCCACGGTCAGGCCCTGGGAGCCCAGACCGTGATCTGTGTAAGGAGCCCCCAAAAATGGAGCTGCTTCTGGTTTGTTCATTTTTGTGAGCACTGCCTCCAGAAAGCCTGTTTTAACACCAGACTGCAACCTGAGCCCATCATCATCATCCTCTTGTCCTCATCTGGTGGTAAGTAGGCAATCCAGTATATTATAAGTGGCACTAATCTCGAATTTACCTCACATTAATGGGACACTATAGTCACCAGAACCACTGCAGCTTAATGTAGTGGTTCTGGTGGCTATAGCCTGTCCCTGCAGGCTTTTTAATGTAAACACATTGCTTTTTCACATTGCTCATATGGGTGGGGCATTGTGATGTCACATGGTGGGCAGAGCAGCAAATTTATGTTTGCCTAGGGCAGCAAAAATCCTTGCACCGTCCTTGCAACCATCTAATATGATCTGCATATCTGACAGAACATGATGTTTGACTTCTTGACTGTAAATCATTAGGGTCAGGTTCCGACGGTGCTTGGTTTCTTTGCCAATTTATAATGTCATGAGTCCTCTGGACTATATATTATCAGGGCAGTCTTCTGGAATGCTGGGTTTCTAAATTGATGGGGCAATATGTCCCCCTCTAGTGGACCAAGATTTGCTGAGACAGGTGGGGTTCCAATCTAATGTGGTGTGACCTTCTGAATGTAGGTTATCGGAACAGGCTCAGACATTGCTGGGTTCCTATCTAATGTGATGTGACCTTTTGAATGCAGATTATCAGGACAGGCTCAGATAGTGTTAGACTGCTTTCCAATAGTTATGTGGCCTTTAGCAGATAATATACACAAGAGTCCTGACTTTATATCTAACATACACAGAAATGTCAGTTCCAAACATCTGTCCAAGAATACTGAAGAGCTGTACACTACCGTAGAAACTAGTGGACCAAGTGTCAGTAAAACATTGGACTGGGTGGGGAGTTTTCTGGGTGATAAGAAGCCACTTACAGCCAAAACAGCTTGTGAAAATATAAGTACACTTTAACCCATTGTTATCTACATGGGTGCACATAATTAAAAAAAACAAAACAAAAAACTTTGCTATAATCTGCTCGTAAAAGATCTCTGGGACGCATTGATAACTGTTTGCTTTGCTAGAGTTCTGCAAAACACTGGACTGCAGCAAATAGATTGCTTTAGAATGAGTACATTTAAATTATTTTCCTAAACCAAGATTTGCAGTGTGTTCAACAAAAACTCTGTACCTAGATTCCAACAATTCTCAAACAAATACCGTTTATAGTATGTCTTCTTTCCAGTCGATAGAGTTCCTCTGAGAACCCGGCTCTCAAAGAATAAGCCAAAGCATAACAAACACCTTCCAGGAAGACTTAATTCCCTAGAGCCAGGAAACCATAGTGACTTAAAACTATTAATTGTTAAGGAAATAAGGCTTACTCACTAAGCAGTGAGTTAGAGAAAAGGAACTTTAAAATTTTAGCTAAAACAGACAAATTGCTAATATTTTGCAACATGGCTATTTTATCAGCTTATCTCTTTTGGTCCAAAGTTAACGGTTCCATGTTTAGTAAATAACGCCAAATGGGTTTATTTACTAACAAGTGGGTTTGTAGCATTTTACAGGGAACAATATTTCACCTATACATTGACCTATCAATATAACTAGCACATGGAGAAAGTATAATTATTTACTTGGCTTTAATTATTTTCTTGCATGCTGTGTCATTAGCATACTGCTTGGACTACAAATATAATATCTGAATGCACAGTCAACCTACCACAAAGTGATGCAACAACATCTCACAACTCATACTGTGCACCTGTTGCTAGCAATTTAATAATATTAAATGTTTTCTTATCTCTGTCAAGGAGAAATACGTGATCGTCTTGTAGGTGTAAGATTTGAGCTATACTCCAATCGTGGATTTTGATAATATAATGGGGGAAATTTATCAATGTATCCTGCTCTTAAAGCAGCCCTGTCACTTTGTGAGTGACCCTCGATGGTGACATCACCACTTGGTGTGTGATGGCCCAGGGGTACTGGAGGTGAATTATACTTATATAATGCTGTACCCCATGTGCACAGACTTCATGGATCTTCAACTCCTAGCGCAAAATCTGCGAAAGTACAACAATGAGGTCTATGAAAGATCCAACAAGATCGCAGGAGCCTCCATAAATAATATTTTGTGATGAACAAGATAACACCTTATTCCCCCAGCTGTCAGCTGCGACAGCTGGGGAAGAAACAAAACTTGACAATGGTTAAGTTTTGGCAATTTAGGTACTTACCATAAAAATAAAAAAAAAGTAGTAGTCCCTACTTGGTCTTATGATATCTTTTGTTTAAATTGGAATTTCAATTAAACACCAACACAGTATTTATGAGCATTTAATAAATATTTTATCTTTATTAAATGTTCAAATTTGTGAGGGGTGACAGAATGTTACAGAGTAGTAACCAACAAAATCTATCTCTTGGTTCCTCTGGTTTCCAGGGTGACTGCCCCATTTTTCAGAACATAACACTTTGATAAATCTCACCCAATGTATACATTAAAGTGTAGGCCTAGCAGAAGATGACCTTCGCAATCACACGATTTGTGTTCTTTTTCATTTAGTACATTTAGTTCCTATGTTATTTTATATATAAATCCCAAACACTGATGAACGTATTTATTGAGACCTCCTTCACAACAGGATTGCTATAAATACTAAATATGCCCGTTCAAATTCTACAAACATTTAACTACACAGGATTATTCATTAAACTATGACTTGGCAGGAATTAACCAGATAATTTAAATTCTCAGACCAAAATAGCTGTGCTGGAAAAATTTATATGTTGGCGATATTTTCCAATTCGGCTATTGAAATCCCATGGTCATTTCTCAGTTTAATAAATAAGGTTAAGGTAGCAGCTCGCTATGTAAATCGGTTCTCTATGCATACTAAATAATTGCTTAACATACTGGTATTACATGGAGCGCTGCTATCTTCAAAGTTTCAAGAAGTGTGTTTAATGCTCATTTCAATATATGAGTGCCAACATCTTCAACAGACTTGTTTGTTTACTCTGAAGACCCTGAATTAGACCATATATTTATATAGGTCCTTAGTTTTATGAAACAAATAGCCAACCTGAATTGAAGCATTACCTTCTCCACTGTCCATTGGGTTGGTGGTCCTTTCACTAGTCGGTTCCACAGCAGTGGTTGCCAATGAGCTGTCACTGTAAGCTTCACTGCGACTCGCATCACGCACACTCTCACGGGAACTAAATCGGACGCGAGAGGAGGAGCTAAGATCAGGGCTTGTGTCTGAGATTCCCCCTAGATCGTCCATCTTCGTAGGGGTCACTGTAAACCGTACGGATGCCATTTTGGGAGGCATTGGTGCCAACTCGTCGTTCTGAACGGACGCCGTCCCAAATTCCAAGTAATATCCCAGCAAAGATAGAAATTAATGTATTCCAGTTTACTGTAACAGGATATTCAGCGTCAATTTCGGTAATGCCATTTAAATGAATCGAAAACAAAATGTTGTATAAAAAAAAAGTAAAAATAGATGGGTACCAAAAAAGAAAATGCAAATATAACTTGACAATATATATTAAGCCTGTTTGTTCCTATAAAAAATCCTGTTTACCACGAAAGTTAAAAAAAAAAAAATTGAAACCAGCTATCCTTTGCTGAAAAAAGCAACTTTGTGTTCCTACAAAGAAAATACACTGCTAGCAAATACGAATGTCCACCAATGTGCAAAAACACATGAATTTACAGGAAACAATAGAAGAAATTGAACACAAAACTGTAACTAACAGAGCAAAGTAAAATTTTTAAATAAAAAAAAATCTATCCCTGCACATATAAATGAATGATGTATCTATGGAGACATAAGCCACACAGTCAGGAGACACAGCTAAAAGTGGAAGTACACCCGTATTCAATATCAATCTATAAAACAACAACATTTTACTTATCAGAAATTCCTTGAAAGACCAAATATCTTCTTTTCCAAGAAAACAGACATGGAAAAAAAAAGGAATGAAGATAAAATATAATAAAATGGGTTGTTTACTCTTATTGAAGCATACTAAACTAAAAAAGAAAAAAAAAAAAGAAAAGAAAAAGGGAAACGGAGAGACAGGAACCCCCAAAACCACAAAATTCTCAAGCCGGAATTGAAACTCTGAGAACATTAAGAAGAATAAGCATCCAACCTGCTACCAGCAAGAACGGTGATTGAGAAAATCCACAAAGGAGAGAATGACAGGCTGGGATTATCCACTGGACAAAATGGGATAAAAGCATGAGCATGAAAAATCAGGTCATAGAAGAGAAAACAAATAATAATAAAAATAAATAAATGGAGAAATTAAGGCAAATTAAATAGGGGAATATATAAATAAAAATATCTATCTTTTTGTCCTTCTGCCATTGTAAATGAAAGCACAGAGCGGCTATAATAAATGGAGAGCAGGCAGGGTGTGTGTGAGACAGAGGGCCGGTGAGAGTAATGCAGAGAGGGACAGAGCAGGGGAGGATGAGTCAGGGCGCGCTCGCAGAGCACAGTGCGGGGAAGAGAGCAGAACCCAAAACAAGATCACACAGGGAGGGGGGAAGAAAGAAGAAGGAGATCAGCGGGGGCGCGCATGGAGTGCACGGCGCGCGCGCGCTCACAGACACCAAGGAATAGGCGGGGCAAGCCGAGGTGTCGGGGGCGGGGCTGTTGTTAATTGTCATTGCCTGGATACAGTGTATACACACAGAGTGATTGTGTCAGCAGTAACACATTGTGTGCACATACTGTGATAGGCAAACAGGGGATAAAGGTAGCACACAGGCTGTGTTTGCCATTATTGTAGGTTAATGGTGCTGGGTGACATTGTGAGTGTTGATAATACACACTGGGAATGACATTGCACACTGTAGAGTACAGTAATCAATTCAAGGGCTAAATAAGGAGCAGTCACCATGGAAACCAGTAGAATGGGTACTAGTGTTTAAGCCTTTGACCCTCCCAATGAGTTGATTTTGTCAATTGTTAATCTCTCCAGGATGCCAGGTATCAATGACTTGACCTTCACACATTGGTTTCTCCATGATGAGTGTAAAAGGGATATATTCACCTTGGATAATCATATCTTAGCAAGACATAGCATGGGAGATACCACCTGATGTTGCTTTTGTTCACATCATTTTCATGCAAATTCCCTGTAAGGAATTCCAGGAAACAAAGATTAAAGCAGACATGTTTGAGGGGTTTTGTTTTTAGATACCTTTGTGGAAAAGCCATTTTTTTTTAATTCTTTATTTTTGTTGTGCAAAAGTTTCACAGACATACATATTTTGCCAGTACAGGCATTTCACAAGGCATTATACTGTGGCATATAAGAGAACTGCACATTTTTACGTAACTAACAGGTTAATACAGGTTATGTCAGAGAATGATAAGGCATTAAGCTTGATTGAAAGTAGTGTAGGCTGACATTAACTTTGTCAAAGAGGAGAGAGTTATTTAACATGCTTAACTATGATTAACTCTTGAGTTTGGTAGCCACTGGGTACTTATGTTTATAATATGTGGAAATAGCATGTTTTCATACAAAAGTAATTGCTAGGCATGGTATTAGCTGGTTATGAGAAGTAGGTAACATGCTAAATTATCTTGACTGGCACATAAACATATTGGAATTAAAATGAAAAGAAAATGAAAATGAATGCACAATTTCCACTGAAACTAGATACAGTCCTGAGCTGGTTGCATTACAGGTGTGACTGCTAAGGGATGAAAGTAAAAAAAAACAAACAACCACATAACCTTGGGGCAACACCTCCACCTGAGAGCATACAAAGGAAGGATGAGCCAGTGGGGGTTATTGCTCGTCCCCATGTGGCAAGTGAGGATAAGCTTTGCATTAGGGGGTTAGATGCCTCTGCCTGGGACTGCTTAACCAATGCCTATTGATGGCAGACTGTCCACCTTGGGGAACATGAGTCCACCCCTCTGCAGGTGAGGGCCGCACCGGTCCCAAGTGCCTGTGTACTCTTGTACTGCGCCGACTGCAAAGCCATCTAGTTCAGTAGCTGGATCTTGGCCTCCGGGCCTTCTCTGTGCTCTGGATCTGTGTTGCCATGTGTGCACCCTCCGACGGAGTGGTTTGCGAGAGTTTAGTTGGCTCCCACCTGAGCATCGTGCAGAGAAGCTCCTGCGAGATTGTAAGATGAGTGGTCGGTATTGGCATGCTGCTTTGTGGTTCGGTGCCGGGAGAGTCTGCCGACGGGTCCGTCGTGAAGATGGGCGCAACTCCGTGTGGGCGCTGAATCGGTAAGTTGCCGCTTCAGCCTCCTTCCCCTTCATAGCAGTTAGATCAGAGTGGGTGGCTTTATGCTCCATGCGCTTCCAGAATTCCTGGCAGATTCCATCAAATCGAGCCTCAAAGTGCTCTCTCCAGGTCTGGATCTCAGGGCTTGCTTGAGATTGCAGGGGTTGTTGTTCGGCGGCCATTTTGGGCCCGAACCGCGGTCCCCATTCCAGCAGTTCAGCCTTGTGTGGTAAGTTTGTGGGATTCCCCAGAGAGGGGGATGCAGGACGCCATGAGAGCTGCTGCTTATAGCAGTCCTCAGGGCGGGAGATTGGCCGCCTCTCCCAACCAGTAGGCCGCTTTCCTTGCTAGGCCGCATATGTGGAGCGTGGTATTTCTCGACAAAAGTACACAAAACAGGTGTCCACAAGCCCCAACACGATTCAGCAATGAGATATCGTTGAGCAGGACTGCTATATTCAAGATTGGCCAGTAATAGCCAATATTGAGCTTGTTTGTGTCAGAGCTCTCTGCATACACGTCTGGCTAGCTCAGCTGTCAGGCCCCGCCCCCTGTTAAAGCCGTGTGTACTAAATTGGGCAAGCGAAAAGATCTGAGTGACTTTGACAACTGGGACAGAGAATCTCCAAAATGGCAAGTATTGTGTGAAATATCCGGTACGCAGTGGTTTGTACCTGCAAAGAAGGTCAATCGGTGAGCAGGCGGTAGGGTCGGCCCAAGACATTGTGCTGCCTGGATCCAAAGATGAAATTAAATGTATGGGAAAAGGCTGTGGGGAGTCTGTGACAAGCCTCCCCACTTTGACGTACCTTTTCCCTGGTGGTTCCGTGGGATCGCTCTCGAGTCTGCGGAGTTCTCGCGAGCTCCAGTCATAGCGTTGCCGTGGTAATCCACGGCAACGCTCTGGGAGCTCGCAAGACCTCCTTGGCGGAGCTGCAGAATGGAGGCTTTCTCCGGGCATATAGGGCAAGCCACCGGCCCACTCCCGGTGTCGGGTCGAGGACCGGACAGGTCAGTCTGGTGATTAGGGAGCGGCCTTTGCTGTATATATATATATATATATATATATATATATATATAGACCTTGCTCTTGAACCCTAACTGGCGGGATGCCAAAATGCCGCCCCTGTTAAGGTGCCGCCTGGAGCCAGGGCTCCAGTCTGTCCAATGGACAGGCCGGCCCTGGTCCAATCACACAGGACAGCTACTGTAGCTCAAATTGCTGAAAAACGTAATGCTGGCCATGATAGAAAGGTGTCAGAACACACAGTACATTGCAGTTTGCTGAGTATGGGGCTGCATAGCCACAGACCAGACAGAGTGCCCATGATGACCACTGTCCACCATCAAAAGCACCTTCTATAAGGACGTGAGCATCAGAATTAGACAATGGAGCAATGGAAGAAGATTGCCTGTTTGATGAATCACCGTATGTCCTGGTTACAAAAGTGTACATGCACTAAATGCTTGTGCACATGTACACTGGAAAGTGTTTTTAGAAGATAATTTTGTCACAATGTCTCTCTCATGGCTAATAAAACTTTATTGTCGTGTTTTAATATATTACTATGAGTGCAGGCTATGTAAACACATCTTTAATTTAATTAAGATTTTATGTTATACTTTAAAGTATGAAATACTTTGTTCAGTTTGTTGTTGCATTAAATAAAACAACAATGAGTATTTTTATGTTTATGTGATCCAATGTTGAAAAAAAGTAATAGCAATGGCACCCATCAGACGGTATTAAACCACATGTTGTTTTTTTATTTTCTTTTGATTCGAGTTGCTGGAAATGTGGAGCTTTTAATTCTCATTAGTACATCCAAACGACATTCACATAAACAAACAGTCTCTCTTGCAGGTTTCACATATAACTCACAGAATAACATCAGCACATTACCATACCTGTTTAAGTCACTCATTTATTTGCTCTCTCTTTCCTGTCTTTGGCATTTACCTGCATTGTCTTCATTTTATTATTTATTTTTAGTAATCATTTTTATTTTTGTTGTGCATTGTACATATATAGCTATCAACCTACGATAGAATATTAGGCGATATTGCATCCACAAATATAGACAAAAGAGTAATATCCCATATAAGATATTTGTCAGAGAGTCATCAGTAGGATGAACATTTAACAAACAATTAACTAAACAGAGAGCTAGGATTGGTCAAGTATAAAGGAAAATAAGTGATGTTTCGCGAAACAGTCATACAAGTGAGAATACTACCAGTCTAGCTAGCAGGAGACTCGTTAGACAGAAGAAATCTGTATTTCTGTGTTTTTCTATCTATGTCAAAATGAGACAAATTAAAACAAAATTAACTAGAGTTGTGCAAATTGGATCAACCTCTCCTAGGCGTATATTCATCGACGTCATCCTGTTTGTCGTATTCAGTCTCTTTGTTTTTTTTTTTTACGCGAACATTATCATTATCCATGACATATTGCCTTCATTTTAAAATGCCCACATGATCATGCATGACAAATTGCCTCCATTTTGTAATGCCCATATGATCGTCCTTTCCACATTACCCACATTTATGTCACTTTGCCTGCATTACTTTAGCTATGCAGGCTGCTCTGATTCGGGCGGGCTACTGATGAATCTGTGCTTTGACCACTTATGCACCGGCCCTGCTCATGACTTGCTGTGGCCTACAGCCTGTGTGCACATATAATTTTGTTATGTGTACTGCAGGCAAAACGGTGCATGTGCACACCTTATAGGGAACAAAAGACTGCAGGTAACTATTAATATAACAGCTCCCAAAGCACATACATGTATGATTTAGATTTATGGACCTGTTAACTGTTAAAGTGTTTGTATTTAGTGTTAGCTTTTAAATATGAGTATACATGTATGTGTGTGTAGCATTGGTGTTTGAATGAAGGTGTGTGTTTATATGTAATGCTTGTGGTTGATTGAATATAGTGTTGGCATTTGATTGCTGGGATGTATGCACAAACACTGCCGCATGTATACATACATTCACATATACACACACACTGACAAAGAGATACACACAGAGATAAACACACTGACACATACACACTTCATAATTTTTAGCCATACTCCTGTTAACATACCTTTTTGATTTGCAGGAGGGTGGCTTCCCCTGGTCCTGCAGCAGGCTGAGGCTGAAAGGTGAGTAAAATTATATTTTAACTTTTTTTTTTTTTTTACATTGCACACAGGGTGGAGGGAGGGGCTAAAACCAACTAAGGGCATAAACACTTTCACACTTGGCATGAGGTATTTGTGCTAATATGCTGTGTTTGGTTTTTGCCAAACATAGCACAGTGCATTACAGCCAAACATCTCAACTTTGGTCTTGTCTGTTGAAAAGGACATTGTTCCAGAAGTCTTGTGGTTTATTCAGATGCAACTTTACAAACATATGCCATGCTGACATGTACTTTTTAGAGAGAAGAATCTTTCTCGTGGCAACCTTTCCCAACAAACCATACTTGTTCAGTCTTTCCCTAATTGTACTGTCATGAACTTTAACATTTAATATGCTAACTGAGGCCTGTTGGAAATGTAACTCTTGGTTTTGTTTTGTTTTTTTTTAGCAATTTCTCTGAGCAGAGGCTTAACTAGAAACAATCAGGCCTTGGTGCGAAATTGCCCTGGGCACCCCCCCATGTGTCCCATTCTTCCCTCCCCTCTCCCTCCAGATGTCTCATTTTCCCCCTAAGCCCCTCTGTGTCTCATTCTCCCCCAAGTCCCTCCACGTGTCTCATTTCACCCCAAAATCCCATGTGTCTCTCCCGCCTGCCCAGCCCCTCCACGTGTCTCTCCTCACATCCCCCAGCTCCTCCTTGTTTTAGACACACACCCTCACAAATTAATTTTATTTTTTTAGGCCCATCCAGCCTCCCTACCTCTCCCTGAGGTCCAGTGTGGGGCTGTGATGTGATCTTGCAGTTCCTCACTCCTCCCACGCGCTGTTTAGTAGGCCGGGGCCAGAATGACGTCATACTCCGGCTCCTGGCATCACAGAGGGAGGAGTAAGTAACGGCAAGATCAGCCTCCCTCACTGCCATGTGCCTTCCTAATCTCCCTACTGGTCCGGCATATATCAGCAGAGTAGGCACCTGCCATGTGGGGTAAGCACACCTTATTATATAAACGCCACATCAGGGCCGTCCAATGGTGGCGAAATGACCACCTCTAGGGCTCCTCATGGGGCCCTCCACCTTTGGGCAGCCCACAGCGGCAAGTGTCAGCAGGGCAGCCGGGACTGGTTGCCGCTGTGACCCCTGCAACAGTGGTAGTTCCGCCACTGTCTCTGAGCATTGCACGGTCTGACCTTGGGGTGAATTTGCTGTGACATCCACTCCTAGGAAGATTGTCAACTGTCTTGGACGTTTTCCCCTTGAATAATCTTTCTCACTGTAGATTGATGGACTTTAAATTGTTTGGAAATGGCCTTAACACCTTTCCCAGTTTGATGGTAACAATTACTTTTCTCTCTATAGAGATGCACAGATCTATGCATCGATATGGGTAGAATTTTGCTACTTAAAGTGGCACAGTGACCACCTCCACAAAAATTAGTTATTAGTATTTCACAAAGATAGAATATGAAATACTAATTTTAACAGTGCTGGAATTTCACTGAAAATCCAACCCAATTAAAAGATATACTAAGACAAAAAGTAGGGATTACTTTGTTTTTGTATATTTCCTACACCTCACACTTCTAGACACGGGGCAGAACTACCACCATCTAGAAATGTCAAACTGCCCAGGCATTACCAATGACGGCTGCAGGGAAATGGCTCGGTCTATGGAAAATCCGGCAGTCTTGGAGGATCCTCCATAGACTTCAGTGCTGAACTCTCACATATGCACAAGAGTACATCAGTGACATAAGCTCCTGGTGCTTCAGCTGAAGAGGACAACAGTGAAGATGGCCTTTACTGTATCCCCCCCAGCCGTGATGTCACTGTCGGTGTTTGCAAAATTTGCAATGTCTCCAAATGTTGACATTATTGCTTTAATGCATAGTGTGAAGTCTCTAAACATCCTTCCTGTATAGAATCTAATGGATTTGTAACAGCCGCTAGAGGTGGCCTTAAGTACAAATGTAAACACCGCCTTTTAAAAAAAGCAGCCTTTTCAATTGTCAGCCTGCAGAGACAGGCGCTTTCCAACAGAACCACCTTAAGGTTTAATGGTTCTGGTAATTAAATTCCATTTAACCAGGAATTAATCAGGGAATTGTAATATTTATACCAAAACTGCTGAAGTTGGAAAAACACTCAAACCGGGAGGTTTGCAGCTTGATTATTTTTGTTTACAATTTTCAATTTCCTGGTCAAATCCTGACATTTCACAGAATAACGAGTGATCCGTTTAGTAAACAGTTGGCATCTTTAATCTGCACTCAACAACAGCATGTTCAAATACTACATTCTTACTAGTTCTCGCATAAGATCCAGCAAACAATGCTCCTCTAAGAAAAATATTTAAAAATTATATAGGAACACTTGCATAGGATCAAAATATCTTGTTACTAAAGGTCTGTGTATTCATTTTTTTTTCTTACCACTAGAGGTTTCCTATCTCACTGCTGCACTCTTTTTAACACCTACATTAGGTATCTCCATGCTTAAAGGACCACTCTAGGCACCCAGACCAGAGAAACTGCTATGTTTATTAATGGGTTAAGCCTTCCCCCAAATCCTCTAGTGGCTGTCTCATTGACAGCCACTAGAGGCGCTTGCATGCTCTCACTGTGATTTTCACAGTGAGAGCACGCCAGCGTCCATAGGAAAGCATTGTAAATGCTTTCCTATGCGACCGGCTGAATGCGCGCCCAGCTCTTGCCGCGCGTGCGCATTCAGCCGACGGGGCGGAACTGAGGAGGAGAGCTCTCCGCCCAGCGCTGGAAAAAGGTAAGTTTAAACCCCTTTCCAGAGCTGGGTGGGGGCACCCTCAGGGCACTATAGTGCCAGGAAAACGAGTATGTTTTCCTGGCACTATAGTGGTCCTTTAATGCTCCTAATAGAGATGCATTGATTCAATATATTGCAATGAAGAAACGCTGATTAGCGCAGTGCAGTGTTTTACTGCGCATGCTTAGTAGCCTCCCAATAGGAAAGCATTGCATTGGCTGAGATCAAGATTGATGATCTCAGCCATGGAGACCAGGCCAGCCACAATAGAGAAAAGTGGAGTACAACAACTTTTTGTTACTCCACAGATAGGGACACAGTACACTAAAACAGTTACCACAACAAGAGGACAGTCTTAAATTAGATGGGCAAAGGTTTAAAAATTTCAGAAAGTATTACTTTACTGAGATGGTAGTGGAAGCATGGAATACCCTTCCAGCTGAAGTGGTAGAGGTTAACACAGTGAGGGAGTTTAAGCATACATGGGATAGGCATAAGGCTATCCTAGACTTAAGATAAGACCAGGGATTAATTATAGATGCTTAGTTTCTAGCTATATATAAAATATACCAGTGAAAGTTAAAATTGCTCCTTTGTATAGTTACTTTGAATGTTAACGTAAACTATGTACATACCGTATTTTCTTCTATCCAATATGTTAAAGTGCTTTTAAATTTTATAAAACCAGTTTTAGACTCCTCCCCTTCTAAGTTGGCATAAGGGTAAATGGAACTGTGATTCTTCCTATTGTTAAGAAGTTAATGACATTTACACGCTGTAGCTGCTCCACTCTGGATAAATCTTACCTAAATTGATAACCAGAGGTAACTGGATACCAAAATGAGAAAAATGTATAACGCGTCTCCAGGAGCTACAAACTTGTCAACAAAGCCAAATGAGGTTTTAAAAAGCAGACACTGCCTCCATAACATGACTACTGTCTCACTGGTGATTTTGAATTAAGAATACATTTGTATATGTATAAAAAACAAAAAAACACATGTGTACATTACTTCTCTGTACAATGTTCTAAATACTCTGAGCATTCAACAAAAACATTGGTTAGTACTCCAGCAGCTCTATCACCTTTGGGGGAGGGGTGGGAGAAAGGTGTCTTTGCATATTGTGCACACATTCCCTGTTTGGTGTGCGACTGAAGGGAGTTATATTTAGCGGTGGTTCTCCCTGTAGACGTGGCCATCTTCATTTTTCAGCTTACATAGCACTGCTAGGGGCGGCAGTGCTAACGGACAAAAGGTTTATAGTGGAAGACTTTGCCAACTTGATCTTATAAAAATGGATTGTGTTGAAATTTCAATTAAGTTCTAAACCAGTTTGCTGGGGTATTTAATAAAGCAATTATCTTTAGTAAATAGTGACAAAGTGAGAGCTGGTTTATTTCAAGATTATAAGCAAGACATGGTCTTTTATGGGCCTCCATTAGTGACCAATGTTTGATAAGTAGCATAGCAATGTGTACCTTTGAAAAACACTATCTACTGTACATTAAGATGTAAAAATGTATGTGGTAGCATATCTGGTAAACCTTGAGACATATTGTACCTATAGTACATATTGTTGCTCTGAACCCACCATCACAGACCTATAAAAATAAAACAAACACTGGATAGTAAAAAAAAGTTGTCATTTAATAGATGAAAATAGTAGATTCAGTCACTGAAATGGCTTTATGGTGGAACAAACATAAAAATTGCTCTCTCCGAATCAAAGAATGTCCCAGCTATGTCGGCTGTAAAATGTCATGTCTTGTACATTGATGAAACTGTAAGGGGAATCCACTTCACTGGTAAGTCTACATAGATGGCTCACAAAATAGGTCTGGGCTGCTGGGTCATCAAGAGGCCAAATCTTTTCTTTAATGCAATACGGTGTCTGGAATACTTGTCATCTGGAGAAAAGCGGGCAGGGTGAGCAGAGGAAGTTGGCTGACCATCTGGAGCCACTTTCTGAAAATAAATAACCATGTCAGTACTATGAACTAAATTCTTCAGATAACCAACAAATTCATGTTTAGTTTTTACAGCCACCACCTGACAAGCTGCTGGGCAAATATAATAAAACCGACCAAGTAACAGATACATTAGACAGAGTTTTTTGCTTTCCCCCCCAAAGCTGCACAGGACTAAAGGAATTTAGAAGGAGCCCACCATGACAGGTTCATGTTAATTCACTCCGTTTGCATTGAACATATCAGAGACTGGATCCAGTACCACCATTTCCTCATGTTAATTTTCTGTAATACCAACCTCTGGTCGACCAGGCATCCACCTGCTTTACTCTTTGATTACTTTCCCCAAGCAACACAAACCTCCTGGGTTCATTTCCAGGATCTGAGTGGAGTGACAGTCACTGTTTCAAAACTTAATTGGCAGCATTAGCAGAGTTGGCCAGGGAGTTACCATAACACACATCGCATGTGCTTGATATGCACAAGAACTGCCTGTGGGAGTTTTGTCGTGCTCTGTCAGACAGTTTTTGGGCATGGAGTCTGTGCCAAAGAACTGATAACATTAATTAACAGGTGGGCAAAAGACCTAATTAGAATTCACTTTTTCTCTGTCTTACTCTATCCATTTGCTAACACTATACACATTTAATTATATGTCCTTTGAAATGACATGTTACATGTATGATGGCCATTATATGTCCTATCCCTTTAAGCAAGATTTACAGTAAGGTAGTGTGGCTGAACAGAAAAGAGGTTACATAAAAAAAAAAAAGTCACTTTATTTAAATACCACAAACAAATAAAACGATGTTAAAACATGTACTAACTGACAATACATGACTTTTACAAACATAATCTACAGAAGAATGCTTGACACAAACATGGAAAAGAAGAATTCTTATGGAACACGACAGTCAAACATGACATACCCAGCATTCAGGACATACTTGAAAACGAGAGAAATCTCAATGCATAATTCCTGGTAAGACATTCTATAAATAAAATTTATTCTAACACAATAGATCTGAAGTGGCTGTATAGGTGATGGCCCACTTTGCTGAGAAGTTTAAAATTTTTTTATATATATATATATATATATATATATATATATATATATATATATATAGATAGATAGATAGATAGAGAGAGAGAGAGAGAGAGAGAGAGAGTTTTTTATTATTTTTTAACCTCACCTTTTCTCCTGCCCTGCCTCCATTGCTGTGATCAATTTTGATCACAGCCAATCCAATGCTTTACCATAGGAAAACAATGGGAGGCTATTGAGGTGTTACTAATCACTTCAATCTCTAAAAAAAAAGCAGCATTTACATTGCAAACAAAAAAACCTTTAATTCAGTCATTGAGAGACAAAGATTGAAAACACCTTACATAGTAAGCAATCACAGGTATATATATATATAATACGGTTTTGACTAGGAAGCCTATCTGCCTATATTAGCAGAGAAAATTCCGTAGAACTAGAGTTATTCTTATTTTCCTTGGACTCCTAGAGGTCTCTCGATATTTTTTTATTTTATCCACTCAGCCCACTGATCTCCCCTCTCCTTGCTAAGATACATAGCATTTATTATAGTAGTTATAGCGGTCAAGGTAGTTCATAACCCCATAGTTTAATGAACAGACACTGTAATATGAATGTCTCCTCCACCTTCTGACCTACAGATTAGTACAGGACTCCTGCCCATGCCTTCCCCACAATAAAGCTCTGTGGGAGCAGCCCGGGTCTCACCTTCATGGTGTACACTCGCTCCCCTTGTTCGTTCAAGTAAAACTGCAGAAACATCGCGCTTGGCTGCTTATCCACCACCTGTAACACAATCAGCGACACCAGCCACGTTTTCTCGAGGCAACAGATCCGCTTCCGCAAAGTCCTTACGGAGCAGTTGCGTCACGTCCGTTCTGAGGCTGTCGGGAAATGTAGTCCAGAGTATTGAAAGCGGCTTGGTCTAGTACGGAAATGACGTCAGTGCTAACCACTTGTAAGAAGGGACAGCTCTCAGTCTGGCAGAGAGGTTGATATCTGCCTGGCTGCATGTGCAGGGGACAAGTATTTTTATTTTGTTGTATTCATAGCATGGCATGCAAACACGTGAACCCATGGGGGGTGGGGGGATACATGCCCTGATATAAAGAAGAATTATATGCTGGCCACCGGCATAGACATGTTATAAAGATTTTACAAAAGTCAAATACTGTAGGGCCTGGGATATTAATTGCTCATCTGTGCTGGGGGCGGGGGGGCGGGGGAGTATACAGTTGTTAATTCAATATTATAAATGTGGACTGAGTAGGGTCACCACCTTTCTTGGAAATAAAATACTAGCCATGCTAATTTGCCTACTTAATTATGTATGCATGACATCACTGATCACTAGAGTGGCTAAAGAGGGAAAAATACACATGGAAAGGGGAAAATTCTGTAAATCACAAAAAAGCTACATCCAATTGTAGCAGAGCCGGCCCTACTTTGCAGCCCTCGTTGCGCCCGGACACTTTTTTTACTGGTACTGTACGGCTTCATAAGACAAACACATGAACACTAAATTAGCAGGGGAGAGCCTCACCCGTCGGGCTCTGCGTAAGAGCGCCCAGGACTCAGTCTAAAACTACCGGCAGCACGACAGATTTTAAGAGCCCCTCTCCCATTCCATGACGGAGATATAACAGTGAGGGGGGCACCAATCTGTGTTTAGCTACCGTTTGCTGGTGTGCCAGCTTTGTGAGAGCGGCAGCTGACTGACGCTTGGGAAGGAGCAAGACATGGAAGAAGGGGGACAGACACATGGAACGACGAAGGGAGAGATATGAAAGGGAGATGAGAAACATGGAAGGGGAAACAAAGGCATTGATAGAAAAGGGAGAGAGACATGGTACGAAGGGGGGAAGAGACATGGAAAGAAGGGAGAGAGAGAGACATGAAAGGGGGAGAGACTTGATTGGAAGGGTGGAGAGAAACATTGAAGGAAGGGGGTGAGACATGGAAGTGGTGTGCAGTCTGGTGCATTGGGTGCAATATCAAGTGCTTTGGGTGCAATATGGTGCTGTGTGAAGAAGCAGAGAGCATGGTGGGAAGAGATTCAGTAGAGGTGAAGTGAATCAAGGTAGGGGAAAGCATGTGGAAATGTATGTGAACATTTAAAATGACCGGGAACGGGGTCAACAAGGGGCAGCAAAATATACCTTTGCCTATGGTGAAAAAAAGTCTTGCATTGGCCCTGTCTGTGAGTGTGTGTGTATCTGTAAGTGAATCTGCCTGCCAGTATGTGTGAATGTGGCTGAGTGGAATGTGTCTATATTATGTGTTACTTTATTTATGTGCTTGTGTGTGAGGAGGGGGCAGCATTTGAGTTTTGGACCCAGGCCTCACAAACTCTTGGGCCGACCTTGAGTTGTAGATTATGCTAACTTAAAGGGATTCGCTAGTGCCAGGAAAACAAAGCCGTCCCTCGGCGCTGGGTCAGGGTCCGCCTATGCTCCTCCCCCACCAGCGGAGGTGACCTAATGAGCGGCATTGGCTCCGTTAAACCTCCCCATAGGAAAGCATTTATCAATGCTTACCTATGGGGATTCCGGAGATGCTGGAGGTCTTCATGCATAGCATGAGGACGACCAAAAATCGTCTAAGAAGCCGGAAATCCCTCTAGTGGCTGTCTGGTTTAGACAGCCACTAGAGGAGGACTTAACCATGCAAGGTAATTATTGCACTTTATAAAAACTGCGATAATTACATTTCCAGGTTTAAGGGTGATGTAAGTTGGCACCCAGACCACCTCAATGAGCTGAAGTGGTCTGGGTACCTACAGTGTCCCTTTAAGCAGCACATGTTATTGAAGAAAAAAAATCAACCAATTAGATAACAAAGAAAAATAATACATAAGTCCCATGTGCCCTTAGGACTTCCTCTTTTTAGCTGCGAGTTACAATAACAGGAACAGAAAGCAATAGGCAATCAAACTAAGAACAACAATAATACCGGAACATATAGAGAACAATCTCTGCAACTCAGAGGCATCATGAATGTAAAATAAGATTCCCAACAAGGAACCAGAATCCAAAGTTAAACTGAAACAAGAAGTACAAACAAGAAAAGGTTAGTTAATGGCCTATACCTGGTAAAAAGGCATCCATGAGCAAGTAAGGTATAATCACCACAAGTTTTATGAGTAATAAATAACGAGTACGTAATGTAACTAACAATTCTATAAAATACATATCCCAAACACGTGTTACGAGAAAAAGACTTCCAAAGAGGGGGGAATAAAAGGGTGAGAAAATATTCACCTCATGCCTGTCATTAACAATAAGATTACAAGTACACTAAATCTGATCCTGTCAAAGACTACTTCATATCTCTTTCTTTATGGAAGAATTTTTCGATTTGGGTAGACACAGCACGCAAGCAGTGGCATCTATCTCAAATCCTAGAAATTGAATTACGTGAGATGGAGTGAGGGCCAACGTCTCTCGGTTCACCATGAATTACAGGGATTTCAACAAGTGAGTAGTACACTGATCGCAAGATTGCAGTCTGGAGGCATCACAAGTCATACAGATAATTGAGACAACATATCCTTTGGGAATGCAAGTGCACTACCACTGGTTTCAAGAGTTTTGTAAAGCACCAAGGTGTTGAGCTCAGATCGAAAGGAAGACATGTAAATTGGCACACTTGACCTTTTCATGAGAAGCAGTTTACCAGAACCAACAGATATGCGACTTTCAAGTCTAATCGCATGAATCAATTGCCAGATTGAAGCAGGCTCCGAAGGAAGTGGATACTCTCCCTCTTGAAGTGTCTGTACACCACAAAAGCATTAAGTTGGCAAAGATTTATAACGGGTCAGATGACTCCTGTCTTCTTCTTTACTAGGAAGATGTTGCTGAAAAAAAACACTCTTATGTCCAGTGGTCCCCCAAAACAGTTTGAATGGTCACACTTGGTCAGACCACGATAGTCAGATTTGCATTATTTAAAGGGATACTGTAGTCACAAAAACAACTTTAGCTAAAAGGGTCACTGTCGGCACCCAGACCACTTCAGCTCATTGAAGTGGTCTGGGTGCATAATCCCAGTTCCTTTAACCCTGCAAAGGTAAGTACTGCATTTTTTAATAATTTTTAAATAATTACCTTTGAGGGTCCGCCAAACCTTTCGCCGCCTAAATGACGCTGGACGTCTTCACACTATGCATTAGGACATCCAGTGTCATGTAAAACCCCATAGGAAAGCATTATACACACTTTCCTATGGGGGAAATACTAATGTGAGCGCAACCATTGCCACACATACGCATAAGGTTTCCCCCAATGGCTGATGTTGGCGGGGGAGGGGGGGTGCTAGGAAAACAACTTTCTTTTGCTGGCACTATAGTTTCCTGGCCATATCCATGGCAGCACAACAATGGGTAGCTCCTCCCTATCCCTAACCAGACAGGAACCTAATTAAAACAGAAGGTATAAGTAACCCCTCCTACCCCTCCCACCCTCAGAATTTTTTATTTTTGGCTTACCTGAGGGTTGTTACCTTCTCCCTCAAGGGAGTTCAGCCTCTCTCCCTTGGGCAGTCTCCAGTACACGGCCCTGTGCAAAGGTGACCCCCTGGAGAGACCCCTTTAGTGACCGGGGGTTCTAACTTGCGGTGACCCTAGGGGTAGCAAGATTATGCCATCATCCTGTCTCCTGCAGTGACCAAGAGGTATCAGGCCGGACATGCACATACAGAGCACATTGATTGCAAGGATTAATATGACATTGACTAACATTCCATTGCTGAAGGAGTTAATGTGAGACAGACTAGCATTCCATCACTGAAAGGCTTAAAGTACAACTCACTATCTTGTACTTTGCCATGGATTTACTTGCTGTGACCCTAGAGGTAGCAAGATTTTGTCATCAGCCTATTTCCTGCAGTGACCAACGAGTAGCAGACCGGACATGCACACGGATTGCAAAGATTCTATGAGATTAACATTTCATCACTGAAAGAGTTAATGTGAGATGGACTAGCATTCCATCACTGAAAGGCTTAAAGTACAACTCACTATCTTGTACTTTCCCATGGATTTACTTGCTGTGACCCTAAAGGTAGCAAGATTTTGTCATCAGCCTATTTCCTGCGGTGACCAAGGAGTAGCAGGCTGGGCAGGCACATACAGAGCAAATATATGGATATAACCCCTTCTACCCTTCATCGATTTCATCTAAACGGTAAGAGATTCCTGCTAATCTGAATTTCTATCAAACGTATTCCTAGACTTCTGTGTCTTATTCCAAGGCCTCTGTGTCTTTTAATATATCCCCTGGGTTACTTATTCCTAGGCCTCTGTGTCTTATTCCTAGGCCTCTGTGTCTTTTAATATATCCACTGGGTTACTTATTCCTAGGCCTCTGCTGGGCCTTTTAATATAGCAGCTGCATTAATTTATTCCTAGACCACTGTTGGGCCTTTTAATATAGCCACTGGATTACTTATTCCTAGGCCTCTGCTGGGCCTTTTAATATAGCAGCTGGATTCATTTATTCCTAGGCCTCTGCTGGGCCTTTTAAAATAGCAGTTGGATTAATTTATTCCTGGGCCTCTGTTGGGCCTTTTAATATAAGCACTGGAGTCACTTATTCCGAGGTTTCTGTGTCTTTTAATATATCCACTGGATTACTTATCCCTAGGCCTCTGTTGGGCCTTTTAACTGGAGTCACTTATTCATAGGCTCCTATGTCTTACGCCTAAGCCTCTGTATCTTTTAATACAGCCATAGGAGTCACCTTTTCCTAGGCATTTGTTATGCCTTTTAATATAGCAGCGAGCTTTTTCCTAGGCCTCTGTTGGGCCTTTTATTTTAACCACTGGATTTACTTATTCCTAGGCCTCTGTTAAACCTTTTATTGCAGCTGTCTCACCTGAGTATGGTGAGATAGTTCAGTGGGCTAATACTTCATCAGAAAAATCTGTTTGTCATTTGGGGCTCACCAGTTCAATTCCCCGCAGGGCTGACTCAGTCCTTAATTGTAAATAAAATGTGTACACTTGGAAGCCAGAAAATATCTGAATGTCTCTTTCCTAGTTCAAGATTTGCAATAATTGTTTCTAGTGCCTTTTAATACAGCTGCTGGGTTCACTTATTCTATGTGCTTTTTAATTTCATTATTATATGCCTCTATGTTGGTTTTATGTATTCACTAAATTTATTATCCTATTTCAATGTCTCTGTACTTGGTAATAGGATATTCGCTGTTATGTTCCTCTATATCAGCCTTTCAACCTGTTTTATTTTAAGTCCCTAAGTTTCCATTCTTACTTTTGGGCCCATTCAGGTTTTTTCCTCTGCGTTTAATCACCTGCGAATACGCAGGTGCTAGTCCAATGGCCGCGCCATGCCATTACCGCGCATGCGCAGAAATCTGATTCGCTCCTGCGTATTCTAAAATGTAAGCCCTGTTGCAGTGGTTGCAGGATCATATTGGCTTCCCCTTTTCAGCACAATGTTTTCTTATAGGTTTTTCCTATATTAAGTAATTAGATTTGTGTGCAGTTTCCATCTTAATTTGAATTCTTCTTTTTGGTTTTGGTAAGTTTTTCTTTATCGAAGGTATATTACTTATTTTTCTGTATCTATCAATCTCTACTTATTTAGCAGAGATTTTCTTTGTAAAGGATAAAAAGAAATCTTATGCAGTTATGGATTCAGATCCCTTTGCTCCCAGAAAAAAGGTCACACTCTAAGAGACATAGGTAAGCCATTATATTTTTTCTGTCATTACTAAACAAAAGAGTGCCTATCAATAATTGGAATTCCCTATGATGATAGCTCTACGGAAAGAAAATAATCCGGATCATACAAGGGAAGTCACACTAAAGAATTGTTTGTGAGGCATATGATAAGAGATCCTTGTAAAAGTAAAGTCTCTGCACAGACTGTCTGAAAGTGGCTACAGGCCCTTCTACCCATGCCCTGTGTATTACACAATATTAACAGGAGGTATCTCAAGACATCATAGAAGCTGTTAAAGCTTGGATCCTCTGGACAATTCCCAGAATGAATACTCTTAGGAATCCTGGGAGATGGATCCATTCAGAGATATGAAATAATCGGATGAGGATATTCAGCCTATTTCAGTAGTTCCAGAATCCGCTCATTTGATTTCCAGAGTCCTTTTACCTCTAGCCTTTCTTTTCGGATGTCAGAGGGTGTAGGGTATCTTTTCCAGTTTCCGGTCCCCTTAAGATCCATAATGGAGGAATGGTTCTACACTGAGAGAGGTTTTCAACACAAGGGAGTATCTCAGTCTTCATCCATTGGAATTTCAGATACTAGTACCTGGGACTCTGCTCCTAAGTAGTAGATGCAGTCCTTAGACTGGCTAAATGTTCCTCTCTGCCTGTAAACAATGCGGGATCTCTCTGAAACTCCATGGAGTATACATGGTTCTGCTCCTCTCTAAAGCCTATGTGGCAGCTGGCACAGGCTTTCATCTTGCTGTAAGGTTTTACTTCAATCTCTAAGGATCTAATATTGGTATGGATAAATTGGAGCAGCATATCAGAGATAAATTTCCTTTGTCTCTTGACAATTTAAAAGTCATTAACCGGGAATAGTCTTCAGCTAAGAAGCCTACATAGGTTGCATTATATTATAGCCAGAAATATGACTTTCTTTGTGTCTATTAGCTGGGCTCTTTTGCTTAATACCTGGTCCACGGATGCATCCTCCTATATTAATCGATCAACAGAATGGCAGAGGGCAAGAAAGCTTGTCTACTTCAAGACCTAAGGTTTGGGAGACCCTTTCGATATAAAGATTCTCACTAACTTCCTTCTCAGACCAAGGTATTTCACACCATGAAGAGAGTGTGGTAGATCTCAACCTTGATGTAAGTGGTCATTATTCTAATTTACAGGATTCTTGAACGTTCTTATTTATAAAGGTAGTATTCCTAGTACATTGGATAATGTCTATAGATTTGCAGGATGCTTATTGCCATGTATCCTTTGCCTCACATCACTTTTATTTTTACATCTTCATGATGAAAGATGAATGTCTGCTGTAGTCACCTTGCTCCCTACCAGTTCAGGGTATAGCTGGAAATACAGTTCGACATGGTCCAAGGCACAGTACAGCTCTTTTAAGACTAGCATATTACTCCAGCAGAGAGAGTTTTGATCCAGATCCTCCACCATAGATCTGATAAGAGGTCACAAGGGCAGAGGTTAACTTACCTATGGAAATCCTTTGGACAGTGATAACTATGAATACCATCCACTGGGGTTGAGGAACCTTTCTCAAAATTCAAATATGTTCAGGAAAGGGACTCCTTTAACATCCAACATTTCTCTTCTGCATAGGTTGCAAGAACCAATATCAATCATCCTGACAGTTCCATATTAATACCCAGTCCATGGTTTCCACTTCTACTTATCTTCTTCAGTGCCTCCATGGGATCTCCCACAATAGTTCTTCCCTCTTCCATCAGGTCCAGTGCTACTTTCCTCATTTTGAAGGTTTCGATAATGTAGAAGGGCTTAAATATAAGAGGTTTTTGAACTACCAAGAAGGTTCTAAGTTCTTCAATCCAGGACTTATCTAGGAATTGGCCACATCACCTCAGAGATATGTCTCAGCACTCTCTGATCTCTCTTTTCGTGAAAGGGCTTTAATATAGAAGTATCTAAATTTCTGTTGGTTGTATTTATATGATCCCACGGTTATCTATTGCTCTCCGTGGAATGCTCTGAAATTTTTACCCATTTTAACCATGAGAGTATATCTCTCCACATTTGCTTAACATTAAGTTAGCTATATCGTTGACATTGGCATGGACTGAAGGATATTAGATCCTCAAGCACTATTTT